CCCTAACCCTAACCCTAACCCTAACCCTAACCCTAACCCTAACCCTAACCCTAACCCTAACCCTAACCCTAACCCTAACCCTAACCCTACATCCCAGCCCTGTCCAATCCTATGTCCCAGCCCTACTCAATCCTACATCCCAGCCCTACTCAATCCTACGTCCCAGCCCTACCTACAACAGGTTTCCAAACCTACTCGAAACCTACCTCCCAAACAAACGTCCCCATAACCCTGGCCCTACTGGGCCATTTATATTATTAGGCATTAAATAACCGGCCTCTGGTCTTTGTCATCGTCTCCCGAGTGCTCCGAGGAATTCAAACAGGCGTTTGACCTCACTCTCTGATGCTTCACATGTGGGCGTCTCATGCAGGTGGAGATTCGTGCGTGTTCCCACCAGAATAGCAGGCTCAGTTGACGCTCGACAGGCACGAACGACGGCCGCTTCTGCAAACCAATGTCGTGGATGGGGATGGCTGTGTGTTGCAAGATGGATGCCAGCCTTGCGCCCCATGCATGGTAGTGCGGCTGTGGGTGAGCATCAGCTGTCAGTGTGTGCGTGTTCGTCCCTGGCCATCCGTCGTCATTATTTATAGTCTACAGAGATAATGACGGCCTGTGTATTCATTGGCAGGAGGGCAGCGGGGGCGTCTTCTTTCGGGCTGGGCGTGTTTCATCTCATTAGGGTGTCTTACATCCTGCGACCGCCATTGAGAATGGGGGTCGACAAGCCCCTTCAGCGTGTTACAGGTCAGTGGATGGCCTTGGGAGGGGGTGGCAGGTCATTATCTCTGTTCACCAGAGGTAATAACAGCCCTGGGGCTCTGTGCGCGTCATTATTTCTGGCAACCAGAGATAATGGCACTCAGGGGACCTCGCAGAGGCGTTTTGGGCCCAAAACGTAACACGGCCGTGTTACAAAAAGTATATTAATAGGGTCTTACATATTCTTTCGGCGGACACTTGGGACACAGGAACGCCTTCTGGAGCTCCAATCGCCATTGTCGGACCTTCACAGACTCTGGATCGGTAGGTCGTTTTGCTGAGAAACCCAGGTATCATCAACGAAACGACAACGAGGGGATTAATACAGCACAGCAAAGCACATGAGAAGGAGAGATTTGACGACGTCAACTCACAACTGAGAATACTTTTGTCCTTTTTGAGCTTTTCCCTTGTCTTCGACTGATCTTTCGAGTTATCGCCCCCCTGATACTCAGGATCGGGTCGGAGGCGGAGGAACAGGCTTAGAGTGTCCCGGTGCGCTTGAGAGCATTTCACATACGCCTCTCGGCGAGATTCGATGTCAATCAAGAAGTCCTGGACTTCGTCCTTGAGTTCGTCGAGTTCGGCGATGACCCTGTCCGATACTTCAACAGCGCGTCTAGCTTTCGCCTCATCGAAAGATTCCGGCAAGCTTCCGTTGGCCGTTGCTGACACGAATTTTGAGACATCTGGCGCCGCCGGTAAGCCTGGAAGAGAGTATCTGTAACGCGAACGACGTGGACACGACATAGTGGCGATTCGAGAAGATGGCCGGGCCGGGTCGACACTCAAACTTCTTGAAACTTGATGACTAATCATAGATCTTATCTTATCGCAGGGTCCCCGAGTCCGTTGTTCGAGCAATCTTCGAGTAAACTCCCTCCTCTACCCCCGAATGTGAGCCAGAAATTGAACACATCTTGATTGGCGATTATGAGGAGGTTTACGGTGCAAATATTGTGATGCCGATAGGGTGCCGATTATGTTGTCGCACACTCCATAAACTCAATAGTATGGAGCCGGCACAATTCGCCAGGCCACCATCATACACATTCCTGTCGTCGTAGTCCAGCGCCCAATATTCGGTCATAAATTATTTTCCTTTATATACCTGATTATCTGCATATTAGAGTAGAGATTTCGTATCTAATTCTAATGAAACCAGAGTGGCAGAGCCCTCGTTCCCACTCAAATGAGCTCCTTCCATGCGCTCGAGGCGCGCTGCGAGCTCAGGCGAAATCCTGTCCCGGCCAAAATAAATAGAAATGATGTACGGCAGACATATGTTGCAAGTTCTCCAAGACCACGATGAACGTAGGCACAGCATGAAGTAGGCGAACATCGATACACATTTCCAACCGACACAGAATTCTCCATAATCTGGACGTTGATGTACTCGATGAAATAAAGGGTTTGAAGGCGTTGTATAGGTACAATTTTGCCGTGTCCGGTGCATTACTTTCCATAAAGCGACCGCACATCGGTCAATTCCTTCGAGTCTCGAGGCTGTGGCCAAGTATTCTTTGAATTGAACCTTATTCGTTGTCTCTTCCAGGGACACATGTCCAAGGATGCTTTTGTGCAACGGCTGCATGATGCGACCAAGATGCAGTTTCAGATTCGAAACAGTATGCCGCTGCGTTAGAACGCTTGTTTCATGGCAATTAGCTCATGCACGAGCTCGGGAGTTGCCTCGAGACACGACAGTTTGTTTTGATCTGGTTCAAAAGGCCCTTCTGCGTTTATTTGTCCCGTTTGTAGTTCGTCGGACAACTCCGTTGTATTTCCAGAAGACTACCCTAAACTGCGGCAGCCTCGTTGAGAATGTGGACTCCATTAAAGTTTGATCCACCTGCTATTAGCCGTTCCGGCCCACTCCCCACCCTTTCCACCCAGCCAAGGGGCCGGGTACATGCCCTCGAATAACGGTGACTACTGAGGTGCTGACAATGTGACATTAACGGCCATGGTCTGGGTTTATGAAGCTTCGCTTCGCCTTGAAAACGGCGACACCGAATGGGGTGACGGACTTCTGCGAACATACGTTGTCTTCCGGTGGGACAGCTCCTCCTCTTGCATGGCCCTGCGAGAGCGAATCCCCACTCTCATACCGTACGTATGAATCTGCCGACGGAATTTGTGTCTGGCCCCGGGGTGGGATTTCGAGGCTCAGGCGTTCATTCGATCACTTCCCCACTCCTTCGTCTAGTGATGGGTCTTCTCCTCGCAAGCGGCTCGTGTGCTGCGCTCAGCTTCCGTACATCGTTTGTATAGGATATAAATAGGTCATACACTCTGGCCCGGGACGTCTTCATTGCATAGGATGTCCAGAGAAGAGCATGGGCGAGGCCGCGTTCGACCCCAATATACACGCTGTTGATCACTTCAAAAACTAGACGTAAGTGCTTCGAAGTGACCTCCGTTCAGGGAGCTCAGTCAAGAACGCTTCAAGACCCTCTCGACCGGGGCGAGACGTCGGCAGCAGGGACTACCCTCTCAAGGCAAGCATGACCCAAATCCACTCCCTCGGTGCACACGGATGGCGATGAAGAAATCGTGCTGCCATGAAGTCCGCAATGCACACACTGGTGCCGTGTACGTGCTGCGGCTAACAGCAAGCGCATCCTTAGGCATGTACCGACTCATATGTGTTGATTCTTGTTCAATGAGCGGGACCCTATGTCTACCTAATCTTTTATCGATTCAATCGACTTGCTGGGCTTTTACCTTGCGAGACTCGTCAAGGATTTCCGTGGGGATTCCGTGGCTTGTCTTAGACGGTGGACGTGTCTACATTTCTGCTTTGCCCAGTATTATGTTGGGGCACTCGTTGAGTGCCGTCGCTATCGCCCGAAAAAAAAATTCAAACAGTACAAGCAACACATCACGCGTGCCCTTGACACCGACACAGAAACTTGGGCTGTTCACGTCGTTCACCGGTTCCATAAAATGCCCTACCACAGATGCCACTTCCACGGTAACAAGCTTCGAACTAAACTTTTCCAGAAACAGATTCGATTCAATGAATTTTTCTCGCCCCTAAACGCGTGAGTAAATGACGTCACGCGCCAGCTTTACGCTCAGGCCCCAGCTGCAAGGGAAACCCCCGACGAATGCTTCGGGGGATTATAGAAATGAAAAAAAATGAGCCCGAGTCGTTCGAAAGGAGTTAGGACGGAACTCTGTTCGACAGACGCCGTCCTCAATCCTGAGTCGAAACTAGAAAGAGACATAACCCCTCAACGCCGATCAATCGCATGTCCAAGCGGCCGGCGGACATATTCCGTGTCGTATGATCTATCAGAGAAACGGGCTTAAGAAGCTTTGCACCTTCAAAAATAAAGTTCCGGTGTTCCTTCAAGACCAAGGCGGTTCTTTCTCCGAAAAGACGTCTTCGGGCGGAATGACTGAATCTTTCAGGGCCTGGTGCTCCAGAGCGACTTCTCGGCGTATATATTCGTGTCACTGATTGCCTGATTAACTCTAATGGTAAGCAATCCAAAGTTAACGAAAGAAACGAGGACGGAGAGCATCTCGCAACTCGAACGACATCCGCATAGTTCGGTCCCCTCCTACCTACGCCTCTCCTCGTGTCCTCGGAAATAACACGCTCGTCGTACAAATTCTCATGGAGCCCTTGAACACCGAGAAGAAGAAAGGCCAACAGCTCCAACAACAGTTCATTGCGTCGCTCAACCTTGTCCGTGGGAAACCCCTTCTCTCCACGTAACCTTCACGGCACAGACATGTCCTTTCTCATTCTGCGGTCAGAAATTAAGCCTGACTGCACTTTATTACAATTTCAGGTAACCAAAGGATGAGTGGAAGGTATCTTCGGTTGAACGCACGGCATATTTCTTGCCCTCAAATTAAACTCGCTCGTCCGCAGGAAAGTTGACGAACACTAGGTGAGCTCTTTCCATCGAGAACGGCGATTTCCACCTTTAAATGTCCTTCTTCGCCAGTTCGAAAAGACCTCACTCCTCTGCGCAAGTATATTACTTAAAGACACACCGTCGTGAGCCCTTCTACCGGGGTTAGAATCATTTTGCTCATCGATTTCACTCGCGCAGACTTTATTCTCCGGAAACAACTCCATCGCCTTCTATCCTCGACAGATCCACGATGTCCACCACCACCCGTCTCGCTCCCCTCCTCCCGCTACTCTGTCAGTTCATGACGACACCATGGTCAATTCCCGAGCCCAAGGACGACCCCAAACGTACCTTTACCCAGGTATGCAAAGAATGGCGTCGAGCCATCGTCTCCAACGCTGCTCTCTGGGCCCACATTCGATTATCACCCGTCAAATACCAGTACCCAGAGAATCTACTTCGGCTGTTCGAGCAAAACGTGGAGCGCAGTCAAGGAGAGCCCCTCGTAATCGAGATGTACAACAACATCCCTCGAGCCCAGCATTCGAAGATCGAGAAAGTCGAAGACCTCCTGTTCGGAGGGGGAGAATTCAGCATCTTCAAGCATATCCTTTTCCCAGAAGCGGTTAGAATGCGCCTAACATCCCTCAAATGCATCCTTGCCGGAGACGACATCCTCGGGTTTCTCTCTCTGCCATCTTCCTCTTTCCCCGAGCTGAGGCACGTCAACATCGCCATCATTCACACCTTCTCCGCGCCTGCTTCCCCATTCATAACCGATCTCGCAAAATGCCTCCAGTTCAATGCATTCTCTGGCCATCCAACGCTCACGGACGCCACTTTCCACATCCATAACCGCATGCATCCTCTCGACCTCCGACTACCCTGGAATCAGCTTACGAAGTTGGACTTGTCGAGCGCACCGATGCCACCGTGGACCTTCCTGCTCATCATGAAGCGGTCAGCCAAATCGCTAGACGAAGCCGCGTTCCAAGTTATGTTCGTCGCGCGAGTGAACCAGCGCCTGCTACCGAAGTCTTCCCAGGCGCTCATGCCGGTGCTGAGAAAGATGAAACTCATTCTCATCGATCCGATTTGGGATCCGGCTTTCTTCGGGATGTTGAAGATGCCAGTTCTCGATTGTTTGAGTATCGAGAAGTTTGATCGCTGCGTCGGGTGGGAGCTTTGGCTGTTTGCCCCGATGCTGGCGTATACTTCGGGCATGCTCCGTCGGTTGGAGTTGAAGAGGTTCGAGCTGAAGCTAGACGCGGGGGACCCAATTCCGAGGAAGAGGAGGACTTCCTTTGTCGAACTCGAGGCCGTCTTGACGATGGTGCCCCGCCTCGAGGTGTTGAAACTCGCTTCGGACATCGAAGTGCATTACCCTACATTGGTGAAGATGACAAGAGGGGATCTGGTACCGAATTTACAGGCATTCGAAATCTTCAGCGCTGCGGGCGAACAGGTGGTGTGGATGGTCCAGGAGAAATCGACGGAGCCTGGCACTTCTGTTAAGGGTGCTCGCGCGGTCAGGCTCGCCCAAGTTGATCTCTGGGTTCGAGCTGAAGAGAAGGAGACGCTCAGCGAGATGGTGAGGGTTTCTGGACTCGATAAGGTGATACATATTCGAGGGTCAAGTGGTGCGAGCGGATAAGAATACGATTTGCGATATTAAGGATACGGTACGCTGCTTAGAAGTCTAATTATTGTACCTTACTCCCAGCCCCTCGTATTCGAGTAGGACAGGCTCCATTTTATATCATATGTCAATTCCATGCACGAAAAAGGTGTATTACGTCGTTCCGAAAAGGCAATCTTGCTTTCGGCGGCGTCATCAGGATGAGAGAAATTGAAAGGAAAGTCATGTCTTTCGTGATGTTCACTGTGTTTCGCCCATGATTAATCGTCTTCGTTTCACTGCCATCTAAGAACAAAGAATTAAAAGGAGTACGTAGACTTCAAGGATGCAACTCCGAGCCGGGGTCGAAGTGTATGTGTTCCAATCGAGATTCAAGGATATGACCACGATGCTCTATCAAGCTTTCGAGGAGAACCTAAAGCCAAACTTCTGTTAGTCCACGCTGAAAGAGCTTTGCGGTTGCTCTGCCTATGCGGGTAGCGTTGATTCGAATTCTCAGGGGGCGGTCCTGGCCCTCTTCGGGATTGAAGCTCCGCCTAGATGTCGAAATGCAATTGCCTATTTAGGGAAAAGTGGCGCGTGTACTGGTCGCGCCATGCCCGAACGGAGCCAGAATCAATACATAATTTCTGTTGGAGCCTAAGGAGAGGGCGAGAGCGTCGGTCTCGTTACAATTATGGCATCGAGATGTAAGTTCTGCAAGTGGAAGGAGACTGGAGGTAACTAGCAAACCAAGAATTTGCTGCACTGAAACAGGCAATCTCCGAGTGTGAACTGAGATTTCTTGCAATGTATACTTCACGAACGAGCGACACCAGTACCCTATCCCACAAATCGCCGCCGCCGCGTGAGAGAGGGTCGAGGATATAACTGGAATACGTATAGACTTTGTTATGAAGATGGCTGAATCCCTCCCAGAAATCCCGGAAATAGAACGCAGGGGTGGTTAGTTTCAAGACTACAGGGAAGGGGAGCCAAAGCGTTAAAATTGAGCGAACCGCAAAAATATGATAAAGGTGTCGATGTTTAGAGGCGCACGGACCACCGTGAGATGGAAAACGATCAGGTGATATATCGGCAATAGCCGATGGGCGGATAGGCCGTCTCGTGCTTGCCTAAACTCTTTCACCTTCCTGTACATCGCCCAAGTCGTTTTGTCCGTTCCTCACCGCAATGAGCAAGAAAACAACAAAAAACACAAAGGAGGTCAGGGAATACGCGATTGGCGACTCCGTCTTGGGGAAAATCCGCGGTTTTCCTCCCTGGCCAGCAATTGTAAGCACATCGTCGCGTCTACCATGCAACGTACCCTGTGCCTCGTTTTCTAACCATTGATTCTGTTCCTCTCGTACCTATGTAGGTTGTAGACCCCAATGAGGCTCCACCCGCCGTTCGCAGCGAGCAGCCTCCCGGGAAGAAATCTGCATTTCAGTGCGTTCTGTTCTTCCCAAAGGGAGACTAGTACGTGCCGTTTTCCTGCTTTACACCACCGTTTCTGATTGATTTCACAACGTATAGCGCGTGGCTAACACACAAAGACCTGTCTGCCCTACTTCCCCATGAAATTGAGGCCTTCCTCGCGGACGACTCAAAAAAACGCAATGGCGAGCTGCGAGAGGGCTACCAGATCGCTAGAGACCCGTCGAACTGGATCCAAGAGCTGCACGAACGGCGTGCGCGGATGCTCCGTGAGGAGGCCGAGCTCGAGGAGAACGCCCAGGTCGACCAGCTCGAGTCTGAGGGTGATGGCGACGACGGCGAGGGCGACTCGACTACAGGGAAGAAGTCCAAATCAGCAGTAACCAAGAAGCGCAAGCGCGAGTCAGATGCAGAGGCGCCAGCGAAGGCGAAGAAAGGTCCGAGAGCGAAGAAGGAGGCGGGTGAGCCGAAGAAGCGGGGCGGGGGCAGGAAGAACGGGGCTAAGAGCAAGGCGACGGTCGAGTCGGAGGATGAAGGCGAGGCGGGCGAGGTGGAGGATGAAGAGGATGCTGGTCCGAGCAAGAAGGCTACCCCACCGCCAGCGAAGAGGGCGAAACGCGAGAAAGACGACGATGGCGACGATTGTGAGTGATTTCTCACTTTCTCGTTTACTCGCGTACACGTTACGTGGCACCTGCTGTGCTCCTAACATCGTTTTAACCATATCGCCTTTCATCGATCATTCGCGTTTCGAACCTCTACTGACCTTTTCTCTGTTTTCAGCAAAAAATCCCGGCGATCCTCAATCCGTGAAAGTTCGAGACTGGCGGCATAGGCTCCAGAAGACATTCCTCAGCAACAAGACGGTGCCGAGAGCAGACGTAAGGGTTTAGTTCTGGCTTTTTACGTCCTATTCTCATCAATTTTTATCAGTCTATGTCCGAAATCGATGAGCTATTCACGACGGTAGAGAAGTACGAGGAGATGACGATTGAACAACTTCAGGTATATTTTCTTTTCCTGTCTTCTCGAACCTGCGATTGTTGCCCTTCTAGCATCTTCATGCTTTTCTCTCCCTATGTGCCATTTCCATTTTTTGCCACCTTTCACGGCGAAAATTCGTTCTAACATTTCTTACGTCCGCGTACCCTTTCGAATCATCTTCCATATCCCCTCTGTGGACCGTCGTTGCTTTCTGGCGGCTGTTGTTTCGCGCCTTATACGTCATCATCAACTTTAGCCCATTTTTACCCCGTCTTCTGTTTCTACCTTATATTGCTCATGCTGGCCGCTTTGAACTTCTTTAATACCTTCCTGATGCCATATCCTCATGATACGTCGTTGTCATCGACGTTCCAGCCCTCCTTTTCCCCTCGTCGCCGTTCTTCGCCGGTCGTTTGCCCCGTCTTCCACTTCTACGTCCCACTACCCGCCTTTTTTCATCTTGAATCCTCTCTGACACCCTTCTCCCTCTAGTTCTCTAAGATCGGCAAGGTCATGCGGCACATAGCAGCTCAGCCAGAAGAGAAAGTACCTCGAGACGGCGATTTCAAGTTCCGTGCGCGGGCCAAGGCGCTCGTCGACAAATGGCACCAGATCCTGAATGCGAACAAGCCTGCGAATGGATCGCCGACCTCGGGGCAAGGGCAGGCGAATGGGAAGACATCGGAGAAGGGTAGTAAGGGGGTCAGAGGAGACGGTGTGGAGGAGGAGGTTACGCAGGGGACGAGGAACCTGGATTTGAATGGGAATGGTGCGTTTCTTGGCCTGCTGATGGACGTTGGTGGGTGCTGACGTGGATTTGGACTCGTACAGACGCTATCGGCTCGCCTGTGGGCGCTGCAGACACGACGCTGGGCGATTTGTCGTTGCTGGATGTTACCATGTCGGAGGCGGCATAAAATCGGGCCAAGGCGAAACCGGCGACGCAGACACCCGGCTACTGTGGAACCTGTTCGTGGATGGTTGCTCGTCGAACTCCGATGTGCTTCGACTTGCCACCTCTGTCGTCGTCGCCCGTTGTCGATTTCCGCCACTGGGACGATTTCCCAGCACAGTGCAACAATGTTCGCTGCCACCCACGCCGGCACGTACCTTACTTTCCTTCTGCCCTGTTCCTCCGCCTTTTCCGTTCTTTTTTCCTCGTCAGCTGCTATCGCTTGCAACCCACTCCTAATCTATCACTTCTCGAATAAACTCATTTTTCTCCCCTGACCCTACCGTTTCTTCCACCCTCCTTTCTGTTGGTTTCTACGCGTTCTTCTGCCTGTGACGTCGCCTCCTTCCTCAGTCGTCCTCCACCGTCCTGGGCGTTGGCGTTGAGTCATCGGACCTCCGTGCGCTGTCTGCGGTCTCGTCCTCCTCAGCGCCATATTTTGATGTGGTATATTCCTTTTTTTCTCTTGTTTCTTCTTTTTTCTCCTGTTTCTTTTTTCTCCGGTGTTGTGGTCAGCTTATGTACGCTCCCTTGTTCAGAGCACTTCTTGCGATGTACATATCTGAACTTCAAATTTATTCCTTCTCTCTCTGTCTCTCGCGCGGGCCCTGTGCTTTGCGTGTTTTGCGGTCCAGTTGATTAGTGTTTCCATAACTGGTGACGGTGTTTGTCCTTCGGCGTCCTCGGGGTTTCCCATGACGTCATTTTCAACACCGGCCCGCCGGTCCTCACTCATCGCGTCCCGCACGTTCCAAGTGCTTCAACGAACGTTGAATAGAGGATGCTGGTCCATTGCATAATTCATGAAGGTACGACTCGCTCTGGATTGTTGCTTTTGTCATCTGATGTATGTTGCCCATGAATCGATTTCGTCGGCCTGGGTGACGCACATGTGTTTTACAACCTGTTCTCATTGCGGATTTCGACTCCATGGGCCATATCTCCCACCTATGGCAGAAGGGCTCAACTTGGACTCGGGTACTTCCACAGATCGCTGGCTTCGAGGATGCATGCGAGACTACCGACATGACGGAGGAAGAAAGTGTGGCTGTGACCGAGGTATCGTTTATGGAAATTGCGGTGCATGTCGTCGGTACCATGACTTATTTCTCGTTCAAATCTCTTTAACATTTGTGAAGAAATAATTGCTGTTGTCTTGAGGTATACTCACCGCGGTACTAGTGGAGCTAAATTTTGCCCATCAATGCTCGCTACACAGGTTCGCGCCTTGGAGGAGAACCCTAAGCGTCTGCCATCCACCTGCGCAAAGTCATCCGGGACTCGTTTTGAAAACGATGTATCACTTTGACGCAGTGAACGGAATCCGACATTGGTAGGCTAACCCTCGACACGATCTTCTCTCTCGGAACCTCTCCTTCTCTATGCCAGTTTACGACGTCTGACGGGCACCTCAAAGCCTCAATTATGGCGGATTTCATCGAAAGATCCTCCTGCGACCTCGAAATTTTCAGCCTCCCGTCCCTGTACGAACAAACGAGGGGTTGAGACGGACTGCTCTCGCTTCTGCTCAATATCACCGACCCTTTCGCCGATCTTCGCTCAACTTCTATCGAAAAAAAGCAATTCGAATCAACATTTATTTCCTCACCTATGTCGGCGTCGTCGTGTATGACGATGCTTTGACCGGCTTAAAGTTATATCACTTACGCGAAGACGTAACCGGTGGCGTCGATGTGAACGAAGACATAAGCTCTTCGCGTTGCTGACGTCTCCGGACTCCAGAAGTTGAGTGCCTGGTTGTCTCAGGTCGACGGCCATGGGCATGTTCATCCTCGGTATATCCAGGTGAGTACCCTTGAACCACTAGTGCATGTCTGTCTTCAACGGATAATTTAACAGGAATTGGGACTGCTCCGAGTGTTCCTTCGTTACAAAATTCCAATTAATAGTGCAAATGAGTCCTTCCAGCATGTACGCCGTTCGACGTGTAGATTTCCGGCTCTCAAACCATGATCTTCTCTCAACATCGTCCACCTTACCCCATGCGAGTATGCGCCTCTGGCGGATGACCAAGTTTTTTAACAGATCTTCGACGCGGCAGCAGGCACGCTGCCCTATCATCAATGGGTCGACCTATCTGTGACTTTATGTCGAAGTGAATAACGCATTCGTCGTCCATGGAGTGCCAGCAATAGCAGAATATTCAAAATTAATGTACAACTAACTCGCAGCAAGAAGTGTAAGTTGTCCATGATTACATATCGGACTCATTGCGACTCTGGAAGAAGTTCAGTATGTCATTACAAACGGATAAATATTGAGTAGAGTGAACGAAACCAAATTGAGAAGTATATGACCAATCCGTCTCTCCAAGCGATCTAAATCGCTTAGATCAGATTATCAGGCAACCCTCCCAGTGAAGAAAAGAAACGCAGCCCATTTGTTCACAACTTTCATGTCCTGAGGCTAACTTCTCGACGGTTAAGTACTCAAACGTTCAGCGTTCAGATCTAGACGTTCATGCTTCGTCAGAACTGATGTATGAAATCATTGCGGAGAATTAATTAACAGCTTGACGCACCCAAATTTCGGCGGTCTCACTGTTGTTGCCCTACAGAGTAGCACAATTCCGTCGGCATAAAAAGTGGTAAATTTTTGACTGAATCTGTATATTGCGTACGTAACCAGTGGATGGAAATAAAAGGATAATTGCGCAACCTAAGCTTGAAGTGATCCTTCAGCACCGACCCATAGTCCAGTGATTTTCGGCTATTAGGACCCTTTGCGAATTCGACCGTCGAACGGGGACAAATGGCGAACAAGAGCAGAGAAACGAAGGTGGTCGTGCTGATGGCGTAGAACGCGGTGCGTACAGGGATCAGGCTGAGCGTGAGCGTCCAGTTACGACGGCCTGAACTTGAAGGCGGTGCCAATCGTCATCCTAAGGATGTCGTAGCGCTAAGGTTTCCACACAACAGTAGTCAGTCGCTCGCCAGCGGCTTGAGCTTCGGTACGACTTACTAATTCCTTTTCGCCCTCCCCGAGACCTCGCTCCCTCTCTATTTCCGAGGTGCATTGCCGTGATTCGTCGAGATTTCACGAGAATGTCGTCTCGTCTACGGCAGCCATGGCAGGGACCCACGGAGGGCAGTTGGATTGTCCTATGAGCCAGGGACAAGTTCTTACCGAAGACAGACCTTCGACCCTCGAACGAGCTGGCTGCTTGATGAAACGGGTTGTTGAAGATCGGAGAGGTCGGAGAGGTCGCCATGCACAGCTGTGAACCCTACAATGGGTTTCGCCCGTTGACGGATAGAACTAGTTGCTGGTAGCATCCCCGCAGTATCGGAGTGAATGAGGACATGGCATTTATCGCGTGTAGGGAGGAAGACCACAACTGGACGAACGGGGTGTAGGGGCCAGATGAACGCACACATCACCTTCGAAATCGCACACGCAGATTCCCCGTGTAAGTCCTATAGGCAGTATTTGAATGGTAATTTGGACTGGTCCCTAGGTAATCTGCAAGAGGAGGAGCTACCCAGCCAGGAGGAAACACGGTCACCGCTGTAGTCGGCCACAGCCGCTGGGAAGACAGGGCGCACCTTCATAAGCCCAAACCACGGCCGTTAATATTCCATCCCGACACGCCTGACGCTGTCCTTAACTTGGGAGCCTTCAACGGCTGTGTACTTGGTCGAGTATAGGCGATACTGCTCGACATGGGCGACGGCGACGGTGCACGGCGAACGGGTTCAGGGGGAACTCCAAAGGCAGCTGCGAATCGGCAGATGGGTGTTCTAAGTTCGGGTTGGTCACCTGGAAATACAATGGACCCGTCTGGGTGTCCACATATCGGACAAATAAACGCAAAAGGACTTTCTGCACCAGATCAAAAACCTGCTATTGCGTCTCGAGGCAACTCCCGAGCTCCTGCATATCAATATCGCCACCGTCAAACTCAGGAGTAAACTAATTGCCGAAGGACCGGCTTCAACCAACGGCATAGTGTTCAGGATCTGAAACTAGAGATAGAGGAGGAAAATCCTGGCCACGAGGCAGAATATTGAGTTTTGACGGCAGTGCTGACGTTCTCCACCTATAGAACGGGGCTGTAAGTTCAACCGTAAAATTTCCAAGAGAAAATGCCGGTAGAAGACATTTCAGACATGGCGGTGCTTCGTCCTCGTTTTTGAACGGTAACATAAGGGCAAGTCAGATCAAGGTCTTTTCTGGATCATTATGTTGCACTTCAAGGACCAAAGTCGGTCTTTCAAATCTCGTCCAAATGGCTGAATTAATGAGGCAGGGTGCCGGATATAATTATTTTTATTGGCATGTCTTTCGGTCTGGGTTTAGCGTACCCAAAATCCATGGATGCCTGTAATTCGCGAAATGAAAGAGGTAGAAATAGCGTCTGGATTCATATTTTAGCGAGCTGGGAAGGACCCTCAAGGGCCGGATTAAAGTTCTTAGCGATACATACCATCTTGTCAACTTGACGCATATTTACCCTCCGACTCTATCGCAGTCTTTGGCGCTGGCGAGCGCGGTCTGTTAATATTTCGTTCTGGGCTTTGATAGATAGATAAGGAATGGAAGGTACTCAGTCTTCCCTCCACGTCCTTGCTTACACGCTACTTCAAGAGTGGCGATCGACTGGCGCGGACGATTTCGCCAACCTCATCGCCTATGGATGTTAGAGCGGGTTGCACCAGATAAAATTGAAACGCGTTAAATTCTTGAATGGTGATCGCGCAGGGCCAATCGAATCACGTCAACGTTTCCATGCTCAAAAACGGATAATTTGGCGCCAGGACAATTTTCTCAGCGCTTGAGCCCGCTCTCGGAAACGACGGGTAGCCTGTCGGCGTGGACGGCAAATACCACGTTTTCGTGAAGATCTGCCAAGTGGATTTGCTGACATATTAACTCCATTTGGATAGGGCTAGAAATCAAATTTACGGTGAGAACCTAGATATTGACATCCTGAGGCAGTCGCCTGTTATCGTTTCAGATATATATACGGGGTATTTCAGCCTGAGTATGGTGAGCCGCGCCGCGCACAAATGGCCAACTACGTCTGCTCTGCGTTGGGAGTTTTTTATTTCGACCCGGAGCACTCAGACTAGTTGGGCACATTGCGTCAGGATCGCCACCGGAATTTGCGCTCGCGGCCTGTTTCCAACATATCTCTTCGGATCGCCAACCTAATTGGACATCCCTTTTCCCCATCGGAGTGCGATATCAGTGAGGAAAGGCTTGTTGTGGTGAGGAGGCGTCCAACTTTTTCCGCCTTCATAAGCCCAATGTTCCGGGTTAGACCCAGATTGCAATCTTGGACCGTATGTACACATGTATGGTCGCGCAATTCTAATATTACGCTGCGTTTCATCGGTTCTCCGTATGGGCTCATCGTATGCGGTTAGATGTGTTACATAAAACCTGAATAGGACGTACGACGGTTCTGTAAATTCGTCCTAGTATTCTGCCCAATTCCCGTTCTCATACCGCCTGCTTCGCGATCATTAGGTATTTCTCTCGATAGCTGCCTTCGACGCTTCACCGGACCAACAGTATACCGACGTACAACTCCTCTTGCTATCTATTACTGTACGGAGATGGAGACGAGATACGGATTGCCGTTCTTCCTCGAGGATAAGACTGGGCGGCTGACAGGCTCCGAATTCGTGGACATACACGAGCGCATGAAGCTCATATACCGCCGTCGATTGAGCGACCACACCAGGGCGGTCTACGAGGTATACGACACAACGTCCGGAACGTTCGACTCCTTCCGCACGCCCCGCATCACCCTCACTTTCGGCGCGAATAACGCCTTGGGAACTGTGAGCTTTGGGTCGGAGCACCTCGTGGCCATGGACCGCTTTCTGTCCCAGGTTAATCCGATCGCTGGGTGCGTCCTTGCCTTGAGTGTCGTAGGCCGTTATCTTATGTGGCTTGATCATCCAGGTCACGACTGAGGCGATTTATTGGGTCGGATGGAAACGAGTATCGATGGGGACATCGTATCGCGAATAACGAATGGACCGTGAGTCGCAACTTTTTTAACGAGCTCTTCATCTCTCATTATTGGCATAGTGTACGAATCGAAACGGCGAGATAGTTGCACACTACAATCTGAAGGATCCCAGCGAACCAGTGTACCAGAACTCGTCGGGGTGCATGCTGACCGTGGAGGAGAACTTCGGTCACTTAGCAGCCGGTTCGTCATCTCGGTCTCTTCTGCAATTTCGCTTAAATGTGATATCTCCACCTCAGAGATGCTCGCCACGGTGATGGTCATGAGGCATATTGTCGAATACAACTTATGACGGAATATTCGATCCAGGAAGGTGGAGAAGACGGCGTGGAGGTTCGGAGTGGCACTGTATCAGAGGTACCCTACTATAATATTTTCTCCGACTGTATAATTTGGTTTGTATCATCTTTACTGTACGTCATGGACTAATAAATGCCTGTGTATGTCAGGACTAATTCACCTGGCGGCTTGCATTAATCAGCACTCACGTTTGACTGTTCTCTCGCGTGGCGACCTCGTGTCCTTTTTTTCGTACAAATACCAAGATAAATTATGCGACATGACTGTTAGCCACGTGCGAGGCCGTCTGATGTCCCGGGATTTTATTCTTCGAGTCATGACACCGTCAGCTCGAATTCATGGCAATGAAGGCTCGCCTGCTGGGCCAGTGTTTGGAGCCAGGAGGTCGATATGCATTTCAGTGTCACAAAGGTCAAGGTGCGTAAAATAATGAAGATTCATGGGCTTATCTTCCGCACCTTGACATCGATGAATCCTCATAAATCGAGTCGTTTCAATCTTCGTCCTGACTTCGAAGATTCAAAAATCGACGGGAAGGGAAGAGGCGCGGACGCCTCCGTTATCTTATCTTATGCAAAATTCGGTTCTCACGTCGGCCGACGTGGCGCAATCTCGGATCGCCTACAAATCTCGAGCACGGAGAGGAAGACGGAAAGCTTTTGGCGACCCTCATTGTTCGCGTACCACATGTCGAGAGGAAATCGAGAATAAAGAACATTCTCCAACCCTCAGACCAAAAGCACGGAGGAGCTACTCATAACGGGAAGAAGTCCTCTCCGAAGACTTTTATTTAACGTGCAGCAGAGTGAAATTGCGAGACGCATGAATATGTGCAATGAACAGGAACAAGTATGCAAGGGGCATCGCCGCTGGGTCTATCTATGAATACTCATAATGGCTTCGACGGTAAATACACAACGGGGAGATCATGACGAGGGCAAGAAATTGACCGTTAGCACCCTCGACATCATAGTCACGCGATTTTGCACTGGAAGCAAGAGATTCAGCAGACTGCTACAAGTCCCAAGACAAGCGCGACTACGCACTAGAAGCTGTTGGCGAGACACTCAACACCCCTTGGTGGTCCCCTAGAATGACGATGTCGGAAGAGTTAGCATGGGCAAGAATGCTCGTTCAGCGAGGCTAGATGTGCGAGACATACGTTGGAAGCACCGATCTCCGAGCATCTCGAGATCTTTCAAGCTCTTGTCGAACTTCTGCCCTAGAAATCGAAACCCCTGTTCCGCGTATTGGCCAGAAACGATGGACCCTGACCAGTTGAGGAAAAGACTAGTGTCAGAGAGGATAAGGGAGGAGACGGCTGGGAGTAGTGAGGGGTCCATGACGCGCCTAAGGCGGGCGACGCGGATCTTTGGGGGGTCCTTGAGTGGTTCGACGGTGAATCGAGGTAAGGTGAGGACGAAGACGGCGTGGGACTGCAGAAGGAGAATTGTCAGCAAAGAGGAGCTCGGTGGCAGCAACAAGTACGACACCGTGACGACGCCAACTCTTCCGATTCCCTCGTCGCCTTCACCATAGGCCAGATGAAGGCTCACCGACGACAAAGGCGAGCCGAGATCCACCTCTAGCGTGTTGTTGTAGATTTCCTCCTCGTTGTTCGAGTGGTCGAGGAGCCTCTCAAAGTGTGGTACGATGAGGAGCCGGCAACCAAAGAGAAGAGCCACAAAGTGGGATCCGCATGGTGATACGTGGACTGAACAGATTTAAACATGAGACCGTTGTAAAAATGGGACTATTGAGCCTCACCTGCTCTGAACTTATCCACGATTCTCGTCTCCTCCTTTGCGAACTCCTTCTCTTCAACAGCGACTTCGTAAGGAACGAGCTCCGAATCATCATGCTGAGTGCCACTCTGGCCATTCAGACGGTACGACCATTTCCCATGACGACGTCCGGACGACGAAATGGAAAGGAAGCCGTGAGGCAGGTGCGCAAGTCGCGAGATCGGTAATGTTCCCTCCAGACCATCCATCGCTGCCGTACGAGCAAACACCTTCAATCCCTTCTGTCCAGCAAGGAAGACGTGTCGAGGACTCAGGTCGGCGTATCGGATGTGTCCAATTTCAAACTGTTCTGGCGTCGTGGCAGCGTCTCCGAGTCCTTGTACCTCCTGCAAGACCTCTATCAAACGTCCGCTCGGGGCGTCCCACAAGTACACCATATCAGAAGAGATGGTGAGGAGTATAGGGTATACGAAGCGCTGGCACGTCGCGCGGTCCGGCGGGCGAATGAGGGCGTAGGCAACGAAGCACCCACGTAGACTCGAATCTTCGACTTCGGGCTCGACATGAGCGAGGTCGCGCGCGATCTGTAGGGCTTCCAACGACTGGCTCAGTTGCTTATCATCTGGAGCGGACTTCGAGGTGAGTGTCGTACGCTCGATGACGGGAGACAGAGGTTCGAGGATGCGCCAAACCTCACGCCCGCCTTCAAGCCGGTCGAAGATGAGAAATCCTTCCGAGTATTCGATGTCGGCATACACCCGGACGTAGTCCTGGAAAAGAGTTACAGAATGACCACGAGAAAGGAGATAATGTGCGCCTCTCCTAGATACCACAACAGCTTGCCCGAGTCCATGTCCATGGCGTTGACCCCTCCCGTGCCCGAGGCTGTCAGAACCAACCGTCTCTGTTCATCTACTCTGATACTGTGTATGCCGCTGTTGGCACGGTTCCCTGGATCGGGTTGTCCGATAGAGATTTGGGAAGGTGCTCCTCCTATCCAGGCATCTCGCACACGCAATCTAGTTTTGCCTGGAAATACGTCAGCGCAAGTTGAGAAACTCGCTGAAATGATGTACAGAGATCAAGATATGTCGTCCCTTCCTTGAGGTTCGGCGGCGAGTACTTCTGAGAAACAGCCCTCTTTTCTGGGACTGCGCTTTCGGTATTGATGAAGCCGTGCAAAAGAGCGGCATTACGATAGATGAGGTCCTCATTCTCTGAAAACAGGTTGTGCCAGGAGCGTGACGTTGCGCAGAGACATGACAGGGTGCTCAACCGGAGATATGACAGGATCTGCAGAAGAACATCCGGAGGTTGGTCGCTGAAGGTCATGATGGTGGAACGTGAGCTTGGTATTCGCGGGAGTTGAAAATTGAGACATATGATAAGATAAGATCACGATCGCAAATGGGCTGCAACACTCCAGTATTTGTCCGATCTCAGCATATATTCCACTCTGGTTTATATCGTTCGCGTACCCCAAACACAAGGCGTATAAATAATTTGCGACCTGCTTTTCGCCGAACACAGTGCCAGTACCATGACGTTTCGTAGAGACGCGAGATTCAGCGCACGGGCAGGACCCGAGTGGGCTTACTCAATATAACAGGTTCACAGCCCATCCGTCCATGATGTCCTATAACGAGAAAAGAGAGGCGCGGAAGCGGCGACATGCACACCGAGATCACCTCCCGCTTCCCATGGAATGAATCGAGCCCCGAGGCCCGCACTGACGTGCGTATCCCCAAATTTCACTGACTTCGAATACGTTACCAGAGCACCGGATTCAACGCGTCGTCGAAAGACGGGCGAATCCTAGCTTCGGTACGAGTGAAAGTTAGAAAGACTTGGATGAGCAGGTCAGGGGTCAGGTTCGTTGGGAAAAGGCGGGGTAAAGTTGCCGCCATGCTCGTCTCGGTAATTGGTTAATGGAAGATGGGCAAGAGAGCGCGAAACGCTTGTAGAGTCCAGAATGAAGGAAGGTAGTTCGTAGATAGAGTCGTAGACTGCAGACTGACGTTCCAGTGGACATTTCTCGCCTGTCGCCATGAGGAAAAAGACAACCAAAATGACACTGCGTCAGCACCTCCGAACCGGAGTGTGGCGTGAAAGTTCATTTTCAGTCCTCCTAAGCCTGACAGTCGGGGGATGCACGGTCCTAGCTCGCCCTCGAATAGCGTAGGAATAGGATCGTAAAGGAGGGTATGGAGACGAAGATGAGAGGGCAGAGAGTACATACGTGGAACCGGCGTTGTCTCGAAGGCTGTAGCGTGGAGAGAGACCATCCTTGATTGCGCATACATTCGACGATTAGCGAAGGCCCATATGACACAGAAAGAGGCGGGACTTACTTTAGGGTATTCGACGCTGGCAGGATTCGAGATATCAGATAAATGCGCATATACGCGCTTGATAGACCAAGACCGCGACGATCACAGAGTTCCCCGATAGATCTTGCGCATTTGACCTCGCCCGCGCCTTATCCGGAGCGTGGACATGCTGGGGGATATCGCGCTGATTAGAAGACGCGCATATATCAGGGCGGAGTGGATCTTCAGAGCCCTGATCGATGATCCCCCACCGCCAGACATGTAGGATTACGACCCGCATAGAGAAACGCACGGCGTCCATCGTGTTGGACCTCCGTCATTCCAAAGCACAGCACACGGTAGCGGTAAATGGCACTCTCAGCGATAACAATATCGTCCGAGGCGTGGGGCCATCATCTGCAGCAATATGGCTCCAAGGAATGACGGAGGGGCCTACGGTGTAGGTTATAGGCCCATGTATGAGCCTTCAAATATTCATGCGAGGGAGTGGTACGTGCTGAAGAGGCGAAGCCAACTTGAGGAGTACGATTGGGAGAAGGATGTGCGGAGCTTCATTAGAAGGAATCGTCGCTCGTCGTGGTGCAAGGTCAGGGTCAAGGTCAAGGAGAGTGTTGTCGTCGGTTTGGCGCTACGCCCCAAGCCCGTGAAGATTAAGATAAGATAAGATCTCCGACCAATCCGGGCTTCGTAGGACCTTCTCCCAACGACGACGATGGGCTGCCCTTTCCAATCTATTCCCGCTGTATTTGCCTCTACTGAATGGGGCTCCACCCACCTCCTTCACTAGCGTCCCACTTCCCGGCCCACAGGTGCCACCGCATCTCAATGTTGTCCCTTCCTCGTCCGATACGAGTTCTGTTTACCGAATGAAGAAAGCTCGACGTCCACTACCTGACCACGATCCTCACAATGATACAGATCAAAGGAGACGATAGAACGCATCCGTCCTAATACCCTGCTATGCGAGTTATTCAAATCCTCGTATACTTGCACGCCTCCTCTCCAATTCCTTCCTAATAGCCTCCCACCCCTGATGATGCGCTATAGTGTCTCCTGTGCGTCTAATTTTGGTCGAATTATCCTATGTTTCGGGCAACTTCACCCGATATTCCCCTCTTCATGAGATCGTCGACGATGCCCAAATCTCATTCCACCCCGGTAGAGCATGCATACCATATCCTCCCGCGATGCGACGACTATAGAGTCACATACTATGGATGATACCGCTCGGGAAATAACTTACACGGTGCACATTCTAGGTATAAAGGCAGCTACTTGTCCCTCGCGGGAGAGTCTCCATTGACTGTGTACGCCGTGCTCTACCCCCAGCCGCATAACGTTAACCCTCCATCTGGCGACCGCTTACGGTCTCCGGCTTTTCATCCCTATCTCTTTAAACCTACACTACACCACTCGTTCTAACTCCTCCCGGTCCTCCATTAAAGTTGAAATTGTCCGCAATGGGACTTCATCCTAGGACATGTCTCTTCCTTCCTTCGAATACTCTAAGCATCTTTCCTCGCCCATGAACGTTGACACCGCCGATTTTTCTACATCCGTCGTAATTTGGTGAAAGAGGAGTTTATATCCTTAAATTCAACCATTGGCGTTCAATTTGGGAGATCTACCTTATGGAGACAGAAGGCCTCTTCGAAGTCGATTCTCGAACTTTCGGTCCTCCGTCTTTGATCAATACCAACGAATTCTGATGCCATGAACCGAGCCGCTTTTCCGTGGTCACCGCTTCATGGATCCTTCCCATTGTACTTCTATCTAGATCTGCGTGCATTAACTCGACAAATCTACTCGTCATTCAAGTAGCATTACGCAGAATTCAAATAGTCATTAATCTTGCAAGTCATAGAAATTAAAATCATTGAGATAAAGAGGTCGACCTACGTCGTTCTTAATAAACCTTTGACACCCAGAGAAGAATATTCGTGCTCTGCTGCATTTCTGCCAGCTCCAGCTCCGCCGTCCATAAGCCATGCAGCGGAGCGGCAAATGAATTATTTTCCTCCCGGTTTTCCCCGGAAACGTAGTGCCAGTACCAGGATTTTCGCATTTACATAAGGATATAATGTAACGAAAAGAAAGAGAGGCAGAAAAATGGAGACACGCAAGCCCAGATCACAGACCACTTTAAGCCCCTGTACTGAAGGGTACATCACCCAAGTTTTCCAACCCGAACACGTACCACCAGAGCATCAGATTCAACGGATCGTCGAAAGACGAGCGAGCCTTAGCTTTGGTAAGGACGACCGTCAGAAAGACTTGGATGATACAGTGCCCATTAGTTGTACGAGAGAGCATCCAGACGCGACCGCCATTGACTGCATCCAGACGAGTCGGACGCGGCCCAGTACATACCATTTCCCGCCTGCGATCCTCGAGGAAACACAGCAGAAAATAACACTGCCCGCACCTCCAAACCGGAGTGTGGCCTGAGAGTTTGTTTTCAGTCCTCCTAAGCCTGGCAGGCCAGGATGGACGATTCGAGCTCGTGTGTGTCGCTGCGCGTTGACTGGTGGAAGAATAAGAATGGAGATGAAGATGGGAAGGGAAAAAGTAAACATGTCGAGCCGGCGCCATCTCGCATGATGGAGTGGCGAGAGCCTGCGCTTGATTGCGCATACATTCGACGATCAGCGAAGGCTAATATGACAGAAGGGGCTAGGATCCGCCTTTTGGGTATTCAATACTGGCACGACTTGAGATTACAGGTATGTGCGCATATATGCGCTCGATAGGCCAAGACTGCGACGATGGAAAAATTCCCCGCTGACACCTTAATATACTCCAGAGCAAGACGATCTTACACATTCCACCTCGCCCACGCCTTGTCCGGAGTGTGGAGCGGCGCGTGGACATGGTGGAGGATATCGCGATGACGGGAAGATGCGCATATATCAGGGCGGAGTGGTCCTTCAGAGCCCCGATTGACCACCGCCAGAAGTAGAGGACCACGAGACGAATAGAGAAACACACGCAACCATCGCGTTTCGTTTGCTAGAGGGCTAGAGGGAAGTGCGAGTGCGAGGCGAGGTCCCCATGAATCCCAGCAGCGCTCGACATTGCCTGAATATTGAATCGAAACCCAGCCGTCGAGATGAGTACAACGGCCTCTCGTAGAGACAACGGAGGTGGAAGGAGAAGGAGAAGGACTCGTCGTGGGCGAAGGTCAAGGAGGTGTCGTCGCCGCTTTAGGCCTCGGTCGATTCTTTAAAGACAAAGATAAGATAAGATCCCTGTCTGATAGCGGTGTAGATGCTCGCCAGGTGCGATGCTTTCATGACGGAGGTGTTCATATTTTTGAATTTGTCCATCCAAAGTTCTGATTCGACGGTCAATTACCTCATCAGCTGCTCAAGCTCAAGCTCAAGCTCAAGGTCGATTCTCGTACTTATGGGGGCCTCTCCTGAAATTTGAAACTCGACGGTTTGTTCGAGCCACTCACATCTTCACTTCGTCAATCATCCGAGCCTCCCTCTTCGTTTGATTAACGTCTTGTCTTATAGCCATTAGACATCCAATATCAAAATTCGATACTTAGTCAACACCAGGACAATTTTCATTCATTTTGTCCCCATCGTCCGTACCTACATAAGTAGCATCAGCTAGCACAAAACTCTTCGCCCTACACTATCAGGTTACGCCGCCGCGGCGTCTCCCTCCTCCTTTGCCCTCTGCTTCTTCCTCGACTTCGACGATGGCTTCCTTTTCTTCTTTAACAACTCATACTCCACCCCAACGTCCCTCAGCCTAAACGCCTTGATCGCCTTCTCCGCCGCCGTAAACTTGACTTCCTCCTGGCTCGGCTTGCCCCGCCATTCATCAGACACCTCTACCTCCTTCACACCATCCACGAGCACGGAGCACACCGCATGCCCGCCCTCCTTCCTGCTATCATATGCGATCTCCCTTCCATTCTTCTGCGCCCAAAGCGAGAGCCTCGATACCGGATGCAGGACATCAACATCGGCGTTCACGATATGCTCCAGAATCGTCATGATGCCCAGGTGCGTGATGACACCGCGGACGACGTCGACCGAGCCCCCAGAGTCGAGCAATATCGCACCGAGGAGCGACTCGATCATGTCGCTGAAGAACTTGGGCGCCTGCATCTTCGTCAGTGCTGCCCACGGGAATATCCCCTCGGCCAACGACTCCTCAATCTCGGGGCGCCGGAGGCGGAAGCGCGTGAACGCGTTAAGCTGGTCCTCGAGCACCTTGCCCGAGCTGTGCAGGAGGCATTTGTACAGGTATATCTCCTGCGAGTCGTCCGTCTCCTCTATCGCACCCGAGGCGTTGGGCCGCGGTATGCTCGCGGCGAGCGTGGTTGAGGTTTTGAGGCAGATGTATGCTAGGAGGTGCCCGTTGACGACGGCGGACTTGCGCAGATGCATGTGTCCCGGGGAGTAGTTCTTCCCTGGGGCGCGGTACAGGTAGTCCGTGACAATCATGTCGAGGACGGAGTCGCCCAGGAACTCCATACGCTCGTAGGACGGCGTCCGCGAGTCGGACTGATACGATGCGTGTGTGAGAGCCTCGATGAGCAGGATCTTGCGCTTGAATGTATAATTGAGCATGCGCTCGACGTCGTTGAGTTGAGGTGGGAAAACGAATTCGGCACCGGAAGGGTCGTAGGAGGCAGCATCGACTCGCGAAAGGACTTGTGCGATACGGTCTGAGAGTGGCTCCCATTTAAGCCCGAGGTCGAAGTACTTGAGACATTCATAACCAAGTTCAAATCCGCCGTGAAAGTACGCTGCGCCGATGATGGATTCTACAACGTCAGCAAGGACTGCGATGTTTTATCAGCGGAGGCCCGAAAACGGCAAAATAGACGATCTACCTTTCGTTGATAGTTTTTGAGAGCCTTTTGCTTTGACCTTCTTCGGCTTCGGCTTTTTCTTCTGTTCTGTCGTGCCGTTTCGCTCCTGCGAAGGCGAATCTGCTGCCGACGGAGATGGTGCAGGAGATTCCACAATAGGCATAGATTCGATATGCGAAGGTGAGGTGGGCGAAGTAGGCGAAGATGGTGGGGGCTCGACAACTTTCTTAGTGGTAAAATACTGTGGCTTCCACTTCTTTCCTAGCATTGTATCTAGAACGAAGTTAGCACCGAGCTTTCAGAGACACTGAAAAACGATACCTCTAATAATCCATCGATACAATCCGCGTTTGATATCTTCCTTCGCCAACCGGACGTTCGACACAGCATGATCCTTCTTCCTCGTCAGGTATCCCTCATGCCACAACGGATATTCAGTGAAAAGCTGAATCCCGGCAATGAATTTCAGGACGGTATCACCCAAAGTTTCCAGCCGTTGGTAGTTCAAGCGTTCTCCAGACACTGGGGCAGTGACAGCGATCGTCAACAGTGGAATGGGTATTTCGGCGATGCGGGTCTCGGAGAAGAGGGTATTTCGGAGCGAGACGGCAGTTAGAGTCATTGAAAGGGAGCGAAGAACGGATGGGAGGAGGAAGCCGTATTCGCTGTCATGTGGAGACAGTAGGACGACCCCCGAGTGTTGAGGAAGGAGGTAGATGATCGGCGCTTCAGCAGGCCCATCTTCGTCAGGGTCTCGTGGCTTGATTGGGATGAGGAGATTCGTGCGAGGAGGATACGCTCTGACCGCGAGGAGTGGATAGGTAATTTCGACCTCTTCAAGATGTTTTTCGTATTCTTCGCGAAGCTCCGCTTCTTCTTCCTCCGAAAGAGGATCGTGCCTCCACGCAACGAACTTGAACGGACGCCCGGACCCCATATGCCGTTGGATGAAAGTCAGGTCATTAGGATACCCGAATTTATTTCCGAACTCGTCCGCGCGAACCATGAGGTGGTGGCGATGCCTCTCCGGATTGGCCGCGGCTTCTCGAGCGAACCACGCTCTCCGCTCCTCCCAGCCATCACCGGCGATGTTCTCTATAGGGAGGAAAAGATACGAAAAGTCGAGGTCGTCCCAGTCCATACGCGAGTTATTCAGCCCCCAGAATACCGTCCTCGTGTATTCACGAGCATACGGAATTGTCTTGTCGTCGAGTGGGGCTTTTCCTAAGGGGTGCACAGAGGTTCGAGTGGATGCAACACCAGAGCGATACAAAAGTGGGCCTTCGCCCATTTCCAGGGGCACCATCTCGCGGCGTGTAAAGAGCATGAGCGGAGGCAGACCTTCCAGCGTAAGCACCGAGCAGAACCACAAGTCTGCCGCAGATTCGTCCGGCCTCCATGGGTCGATGCTCAGTGCCACCTTCGCGAGACCCTCTCGCTTCTCGACGTCGGCCAGCATCGCCTTCACTTCATCCTCAAGTTCGGGCTTCATGACGCTCGTGATAGGCAGCAGGTTCTCGTTGAGCAGACCAGCGTCGTATAGGGCCTTGTACGCCTTGAATGCAGCATGTCTGTGCGCTGAGGTCTTGTTCTGGTATATTCTATCGACTGTGAACTGGCGTTCGGGAAGTGGAAGCGCGCGGGGTAGGGTGACTGTCGATCCAAATGGACCAGCACAAGGAGGCTTGCTCTTGAGGTGCGAGTCGAAGGCGTGCCAGCCTTCGGGGAACTCGGGTGGGTCCAGATCATAGACAGGGCGATTATCAACGTGGGTAGAGTTTGGGATGACCGCGCAGAAGTGTTCAAGATGAGCGACGGCAGAGTGTAGCGTGAGCAATGCACTGCATTGCCAAACATGAGCAATAATAAGTATAAGCAAGCAACGAGACTTACCCAGTTGACGGCACCATGAACTGTAGCTCATCGTCTTCGACGTCGTCCTCTGCCGGGGAATTATCATCCAGGAGAGCGAGGTCGCGTCTGGGATCGTTATACTGGGCGACCATCTGTTTCTCTAGATTCTCCCACTTTGCCACGTCTTCCTGCCCCCTGCCACCAGCTTCAAACATCACAGTAAACGTACTCCGCTGCTTCCTCGCCCGGCCGCGGCTCTGCGTCCAGCTCGCCATATTCGGCGGCGGATCCCAGCGAATGACACTGTTACACTCCTGGATGTCGATGCCTTCCTCCGCGACGGCTGTCGAGATGATGAGGTTCTTCACCCGCGCTTTGAACTCGGCGATCGTATCCTCCTGCGGCTCGACCATGTTGCGCGTGATGTCCATCATCGAGTGGCGATGCCTGCTATCCGAAGTACCGAGCAGGACGCCGATGGAGAAGATGCCCTTTGTCGCCGGGTGATTTTTGAGGAGCTCGGCGAGAGCGATGACGGCGTCGCGCCGCTGGACGAAGATGATTCCGGTATAGCTATCGTTCAACGACTCCGCCGTGGCCTTCTCATTCAGGAGACACTCGATCAGCACCTCCGTCTTGTTCGAACAATCGTCGGCTATGTCGTCTGGGTAGTAGGAAACAGGCGATACGACGATTCGATTGAGGATATCGAGCAGGTACCTTTTCTCTGTCGGCTTCCACGTGACCATCATGTTATCGTACGGGTTGGCGGCCTTCTTCGCGCGCTCGAGGACCTGCCACACGAACCAATCCGCAGACCACGGCCCGAGATCGCTGCAGATATCACTTGCAGCGCGCTCAAAGTCACGAAGTCCCTTATGCGTGAACGAGCTCTCTTTCTCGATGACTTTGGAGAGCTTCTGATCGATGCGACGGTATTCGGGAGAACCAGGACCAGCCCGAGAGAGCTGAGACCGCAGCGACTTGACGTAGGGATCGTTCTCGATATTCATAGTCTCGAGAACGGCTGATAAGGCGGCGAGGTTGGTGGAAAACCCGTCTTCGGACCGGATGTACATGACGTGTTTGAAGATGGGGCGATGCACATACTGGGCGAGCTCCTCGCGATTACGGCGAGGTGCCCGAATCGTGCTATCGAGATTACTTTCGATGGTCCTAATATGACGATTTAATTAGGTGAAATATGCAGCATAAAATCACTCACTTGAAAGCTTTTTCGACATTTCCACCATAAATGGGGCTCGCGGTCAGACCTAGCACCATCGGACGTACGTCTTCCGCTAAGTTGGTCTCGGTACGTGGAGGTAGATCAAAGTAAAACTCGGCCATGATGCGATTGTAGGGATGCTTGTCCGCGGCGTGGTGCGCTTCGTCGAACACCAGGAGCGAGATGTCCCTGCCCAAGAGAATGTACCCGTGTCGAAGGGCGTCCAGGAAGACTTGCGGCGTCGATACCATGATACGATGGGTTCGCAGTACACGCTCCCACAGCGCGGCGTTCTTCCACTGGTCTGGCTCGTTCGCCCCCGAGACGATCCCAACCGATACGGGGATCTGGAACTTGATCACGGTCTTCTGCTGCTCGCACAGCGCGACAGTAGGGGCGAAGAACCAGGCCAGCTACGGCGGGGAGACCGATGAGCCACTCGGACGGGGAAGTTGGGTTGGACGATACGCACCTTCCGTGGCTCCCTCTCGATCTCGTGCTTCAGCCTCAGAACGGCGATGTGCGTCTTCCCGGAGCCGGTGTCGAGGGCGATGATGATGTTCCTGCGCAGACTTTCCTCAAGCATTTCGAGCTGGTATCCACGAGTGACTCGCGTGGGAGGTATACGTGGCGGAGGAGCAGCGGTATAAACTGGAAGATCGTTGGCCATTGTGTAAAGCGATGCTACTGAAAGAAGAGATAGCTCGAGACCTCCGCTGAAGGTGGTGGGAGATGGAAAGCATACTCTGGTCTGCAACCGAGGGAATCTCGGGTCTTTATGTGGCTCTGGGCGCTTATTGTCAACGGCGAAGGTCAGGTGGTTGGGCGATCGAAGCACAAAGGGCCGATGATATCGAAGTCCGCAGTCACGTTTGCGGACTTATTTCCGACTATAGTGACTCGATGCGATAGGGGGACGTAATTTCATTCATCTTCAGGAGATGATTGCCTTGCACGTTGAAAGATCGAAGGTTAATAAGGGACAACCGGCGAAAAGTCAACATGAGCCGCGATGCAGTCCTCTGACCCAAGCAGGCGTACACACGCCAGTTACTATATTTGGCATCGCGAACCGCCTCAAAGCCACTTCAAAGGCTAAAGCCAACAGACGAAATATTGGGCTTCGTGGAGTCTTTCATAGTCGCAAAATGTATCTTGACCAGCTGTCTTATTTATATAAAATAAGGCTGTAGACTGAAAATCACACTTTCACGCATTTCGTGGACCTCATGAGTCACGACGATGGTTGCGTCCATGGAGTGAAAAACAAATATCGGCGTTACTTAATTGTTTTTGAGTCCCAGTAGAAAGATGGGAAAAGATCGGATACGATCTGCAACGCGGAAAAGAGTAGATTACGCCCCCGAATGCAAAGGAGCGAGATAGAAAACGGTGTGTCCCCGCGCTCAATTGAACGTGGGGTCGAAGAGACCGTCTTCGGAATACTCCTTGCATCTGGCCGGCGGAAAGGTTCTTTCGCAAGGAGGGAGGGGGGAACTGGTGTAGTGGGGATAAGCCGAATTGTCGACCATGCCAAGAAGACGTACGAGGAAGGGAGCGCTCATCGCTATGTCGCTCTTAAATAAAATATAGATTGAGTGCAGGGCGACAGACGACCTGAATGAGTGAGAGAGCTTGAACGGGGTACGGGAGGACGAATCCGAAACCGAAATACAGCGAAGGAGATACGCATGCGGGCACTACATAGTACACAGAATCCTATGTCGATTGGCTCCCCTACGCAACCCGAAGAGACATTTTGAGCGAAGAAATCCAACCCCCATTCCTAGCCGTCCATGCCGTATAGAGTAGCAGCCAAGGGGGAACAGAAAACGAGGGAGCACGCGAGGTGAGGGGGCAGGCTGTCTCTCGGAGCGGTGGTTTAAGGAGGTCGTGAAGCAGCGGATGGGGGACGGGGATGCGAATATCTGAGTGATGTTGTTGCAGGCAAGGGCACGTACCGGAGAGATGATCAGCGGCATCTTTGAAAAGAATGACGGGAGTCGATCAACTGGCCTGTATACGCCACGCCAACACCAACTGGTGAGCGCTCGATAAGTATAACAGCAGAATTCAGGGATATTAAAGATCCAGAACGCATGCGTGTTTTAATCTCCGCCCGAGTACGCACAGCCTTCAGCCTACAGGGTGTACAATCCTATCTATCGAAACGAAAACAAAAAGAACCAAAGGGGGAGGAAGTAAGGAAAGAGGACAATGAACGCTGCCATCGTGTGCGTGGTCCAGGATCAAGAGTGCCGTGCTCACAACACGTTCGAAAGACAAGTCGGAGAGCTCAGAGAACGGTGCTCGGTGGGGATGTTCCTGATGTTAGATCTTGGATCGCGCACAAATTGTGCGGCGGGCCAGCAGGAATTTTCCGAATCTTTAGAGGAGGACCAAAGACGAACGATATGTTTCGAAAGAGGTCGATTTGATAGTAACTAGAGCGCCTCAGAATACAGGACCCCGAACGCGAGACGCCCCAAGACTATCATTCTCGAGGTTCAGCGTAAAGACGCCTGGAAAAAGATCGGACGTGCGATCTGCAACGCAGAAAAGAGCAGATTCCGCCTGCCGATGACCGAGGGGTGGAAGAGAAAACGATGCGTCCCCGCGCTCAATTGAACGTGGGGTCGGAGAGACCGTCTTCAGGATACCCCTGGCCTCTGGCTGGCGGAAGGACTCGTTTGCGAGGAGGGAGGCGGGAAGCTGGTGTAATGGGGTTTAACCTAATTGTCAACCATGCCAAGAAGACGCAGGAGGAAGGTTTAGACGACGCCGAAATCCAGCGAAGGAGATACGTGTGCGCGTACCATGACGAATGCCAGGACAAATCCCAATGTAGCATAACTCGAAGAGAATTCCAGGACGAGACATGTTGGGCGAGGCAATCCAACCCGCATCCATGATCGTCAGTGCTGTATAACTGCCAAGGCGGCATACCACACGAGGGAGCACGCGAGATGAATGGACAGGCGGTCCCTCGGAGCGGTGTTTGGGGAAGTTATAAAGCAGCGGAAGGGTGGGGATGAGAGTAATCTTGTACCGCATGGGACGAGAGGCTCGGAGGAGTGGCGAGGAAGTCGGGGTGTGGGGTGGAAAGGGGTTTGCGACACGAGAGTGAGAGAAGGGCACACTATGAGCGAGGTTAGAGGAAATATACGATTGAGAAGCTAGCGGCGATGGGTCGCGGTAGGTAAAAGCTGGAGAGGAACGAGACAAGCTGGGGAATGATTAATGGCCAGTCGAAGCAAGGTCGAAGAGAGAACAAAGGGCGTTGTGCCCAAAACGCATGAGAAAATGTTAGTAATCACCGCTCGGAAAAGGCCGACAACACTGAAAACGGCGCAAGACGAACTAAGTAGATGATTCTGCCAACTCTCCACCGGCCACCACCAGCACTTCTCCCATTTCGCCTCCTGACAACCTATTCCGCTCCCTGCCGTCGTTATCGTCGACGATCACTCTTCGGACTCTCAGAAGACAAACCCAACGTGCCTTTTAATTTCCGGCGCCGGATACCATCTTTTCTTCTAATATCTTTCCATCACCCCATCGGCCGCTATCGACTATGGCATCGCCAGCCAACATCCCCGATCTCGAGACGGAGATCGCAGCGCAGACGGCTAGGTTCAACGAGCTGCGGCTGGCTGGCCAACCGCTGGACGGCATCAAACAGACCCTCTCCGAGTTGAAGAAGACGCTTGCTCTGGCCAAGAATGCAGGCGGGGAGAAGAAACCCAAGGCAGCGGGCGCAGACGGAGAGGCGCGGCCAGAGAGCTCCTCACAGGAGAAGAAGAAGGAGAGGCTGCTGCTGAAAACAGCAAAGGTACGTCGTCGTCGTCGTCACCACCTTCTCCTGCAGACCACCATGACTCACCTGCACCGTCGCCCAGGGCACCCGCGACTACGGCCCCGCCGAGATGTTCTGCCGCTCCCACATCGAGCGCACCATCACAGACTGCTTCACCACCTACGGCGGCGCCTGCCTCGACACGCCCGTCTTCGAGCGCAAAGACGTGCTGACCGACAAGTACGGCGAGGACGCCAAGCTCATCTTCGACCTCATGGACCAGGGCGGCGAGCAGCTCGCGCTGCGGTACGACCACACCGTCCCCCTGGCGCGCTATCTCGCGATGCAGGGCGGGAGCTCGACGCAGAGCAAGCTGTGGCAGGTGGGCAAGGTGTATCGAAGGGACAATCCCGTGATGAGCAAGGGCAGGATGAGGGAGTTCACGCAGGCGGTGAGTACACTTGTTGACTCGGCGGTTCTGTACGCTGAGGGTTTTGAAGGACTTTGATATTACGGGGAGTTGGGACGCGATGATTCCTGATGCTGAGATTCTGTCGCTCCTCTGCACTATCCTCACCAAGCTCGACATCGGCGAGTTCACGTTGAAGGTGTGTTTTTCCACTTCCGCCTCCTGCTTCGTCTACCTTTTTGTATTCCTTTCCTTCTTCTCAGGCCGCATATATGCGGTATTTCTGGAACCCCTAGCTCCAGGAACGTGTTGCGCTGGTCCTAGCCTTCGTCGTCGAGGCTCATTTGAATTTCTACATCACGCTTCTCGTCAACCTTTCGCTCCTACTTTCTTGTGTCATCCTCTCCCTTTCTTTGCGAGCAGGAAAATTTACCGCCTCAACCCGAGTCTTTTCTCAATCCCTGTCTTTCCGATCGCGTCCTAAAATTGTTTACCCCACCATTTTCTATTCTTTTTACGACGTGCTCGTGGTCAGATGGATGTTGTTGTGGGTGGTAGAGCCAGAATATTCTCTGGATCGCCATTCCTCCTTTCTCGTTTTCGTTCTTTGATCAATCGATGGATTGGATGACCTAGCGGCCCAATGCCGCCTTCTGTCTGTCCACCTTCTTCTTTTCCCATCCCGCATCAAAGTCGTTTAAACAGGCATTTATGGCTACCTCGTCTTCATGACGAATGTCACTTCTTTCCTCGCTGTCCTCTTCCTCCTTCGACGGCGAGCTATCGAACGAAATTTATATTTAGGTACTTTATCACTCCGCTCATCGACCATTTGGTTCTCCTTTTTTCTTCGGGGCGGATGGTCTAGGCTCGCAACTCCTTTCCCTTCGCGCGTCTGAAAGTTGTTTATATTGGCCTTTCCTTGCTGTTTTATGACATTCTGCTGCCGTATATATGCGGTGTTTCTCGGACATGCGGGGACAGTGATGTGTTGTGCTGAACCTGGCCCTCCTCGTCTCACGAGTATTCGTGTCCAGTGAGATTCCTGTGTGGATTCTGCCGAATCGTTTCGCGGCACACGAACCAGCGACGAAGGACAAATCAGAGCATTTCATTCGAGTTACATCCTTTCATTCGTCTTGTTTCTTCCTTCTATTTCCCTATGTTCAAGTAGACTTTTATCCCTTCTGCATCGCTGCCCACCTATTTCAATCTCCGTTACCCCCTCTCATTTACCCCACCCCAAATACGCTTACGCTCACATGGTCCTCAGGTAAATCATCGCCGAATCCTCGACGGGATCTTCGAAGTATGCGGTGTGCCACCCGAGAAAATTCGAAGTATATCCTCAGCCGTCGACAAACTCGATAAAGTGACCACAACCGATTCCTTTCCATTTTCGCCATCTGATGGACTCCTCAGCTTCCATGGGCTGAAGTTAGGCTCGAAATGACGGAAGAAAAGGGTCTCGATCCTGCCGTCGCAGACAAGATTGGCGAATACGTGAAGCACAAAGGTATGTATGCTCTCCATCGCCCTCCGTCATCCATCACCTTTCAGAGATCTGAGCTTCTGGTGATACACTAGGCGGCCCTGAGCTCCTCTCTCTCCTCGAACGCGATGCGGCTCTAACGGCCAACGCAAGTGCAAAGCAAGGACTAAGCGACATGCGCATCCTCTTCACCCTCTTGAAGGCGTACGGCGTCATTGAGCGGATATCATTTGACATGTCGCTCGCACGAGGGTTGGACTATTATACGGGGATCATCTACGAAGCGATCGTAGAGGCGAGTGCGCCTCCAGGGTTCAAAGCCGCCAACGCCTTCGCTTCTGCTCCATCGGCGGAGTCGTCCACTGCCTCTTCTTCCGCACCTGCACCCGCCGCCACCGAATCCAAGAAGCCCAAACCAAAGCCAAAAACCACCAACAGCCCCAACGCAGACGACGACAAAGACATCGACGAATCCCAAGTCGGCGTCGGCTCCATCGCCGCAGGCGGGCGGTACGACAACCTCGTCGGCTCCTTCCTCTGCGGCGCCGCAGGCATCACGCCCACCTCCAACCCAAAGGACTACAAGAAGCTCATGGGCGCGGGGGCGCCGTGCGTCGGGGTCAGCATCGGGATGGACAGGATCTTCGCGCTGGTGTGGCCGAGGTGGGTGGAGAGGGGGGCGAGGGCGAAGGGGACGATGGTGTATGTGATGAGTGCGGGCGATGGGCTGTTGGAGGAGAGGGTGAGGCTGGTGAAGGAGCTGAGGGATTCTGGGGTTAAGGTAGGTTTTTTCTCCGGCATTTTACATACCCTTTCATCGTCCTCGTCGCCGCCGCCCAATTATTTCGTTATTGACGTTACCGCTCCGCAGACCGACTTCCTCGCCAAGTCCAAACCCAAGATCGCCGCCCAGTTCGCCGCGGGCGAGCGCGACGAGGTGCCATTCGCCGTCATCCTCGGCGCGGACGAGCTCAAAGCCGGGCTCGTCACCGTCAAAGAGCAGAGCTGGCGCCTCGTCGACGGGAAGAAGGTCAAGATCGAGAGCACGGACAAGGGCACACAGGTCAAAAGGGACGAGCTGGTGGCGTGGTTGAAGAAGAGCGAGACGTGGGGCGAGTGGGAGGCGGGGGTCTGGTGAGAGTAGGAATGGTTGGGGAGGACGTGGGTGCTTGATGCTATAGAATGATCTCCATCTGTCTTACCTTGAATGTGGAAATAGAATGTGCGGTAGACGTCGCTATTCAGTTCGTCTCCCTCCGTCCCTTGCGTCCTGGTTCGCCAAGCAATTGCATTTGTACATCATTAGAGAAGACCGTCGCACGACTCAGCGAGAAGTACGCTGCTATTCACACTGGTCATCCGCTCTCATGTCGGCGCTGTGAACACGACCACGGGCGATATGGCGACGTTGCTATCTCGGAGGCGCCATAAAACTAGAACCAAGTCGAAACCTGCAAGCTGGTCCTCTTCTCGTCTGTGGTTGCTTGTCGGTCCGCGTTCGACTTATGGCAATGCATGTTTGCGTCACCCACCGCCTCCTTAATAGGCGTTCTCAGGATTGATATGCCCCGAGGTGCCTCTCGACAACGGGAAACAACGATCAACTTTCGATCTTCCACAAATCTTCCACCGTTTATTTACATGTTGGAGGACTTGGGATCACAATTTATTTGTGAACCTTTCTTGTCTACCGTACATGCAATTTAAATGTTGTCGACCCGGACAGATGTAAAGATGAGGACCAAACCATGGCTACTACTTACAAGAGGGACATAGTGTCTCACAGGAGTTACGATGGCGTTTCGTAGAGAGCCTGTACCCTTGAATTTAGGAGCTCTTTTATACGCAATTCGGTTAGGGACAATGCGAAATGAAGAATCCAAGTTCATACCTCGAGCTCTGAGTAATTGAAAGATCTTGCGAGGCGGAGACGGCGAATGACCTGGTATGTGCACAGATTCAGAGGTTCGGCAATGCAATAGACAGATTGAACTTCAGCGTTCAGCGCCAGTAGCCCAGGACGATATGAACGCTACCAACACCCCCAAGGGCACGATCCAAGGATTACGTGGGACTCATCACATCACTAGAGCGTCATCTCCTTCTTAAGGTACCCATCTAGTGGAACGGCGCTCAGTGAAAGGTGTCTCGCATAAAACTTGGATCGATAGGGGGCAGATAGGAAGACTTCCACCTGACGTACACGAGACAGTAGAGCTTGAGACACCAAAATGGTTTTGACCAGGTAGAAGAAAGTCAGACGGGAATTGGCGTATCAATGCTCCTATCTCATTCGAGGGCAATGGAGGAAACGATCATAAGATCAACAGCCGATGACACACAGCGAACGTCCGCCATCTTTGGAAGAAACTCCATAGCGAATGAAGCCCTCACTTGCACCAATGGGATCTGACGGAATGCATGTCCTTCGCAGAGTTTGCAATCAAGAATGGCGGAAGGACGTGTAGCATGCGACAGCGTGTCCCGATCGACCCATTGGCAGAGCACCTGCCTCGAAGACAGCTAATATGTCGTATAATCGAAGAAGGGGAGTATGACCTTGTGAGATGGGAGGGGATTGAGTTCGGCGTTACTCGAGATCGTGGTAGGAAGACAAGAAGGGTGTTGTCGTCAGTTTGGCACTTGGGCCGAGTCCTGGAAGATAAGATAAGATCAGAATGAAAGCCCAGGCCTGAACCTCATGTTATCCTTCCCTCTCTTTCTTCCTACGACAGCGATGATGTCCAAACGATCCTCGACGCTGCCTCAGTAATCCCTTCGCCACGGCCCCGACTCCCAATCGTCCACCATCCTCATCCTCATGGACATCCCAAAAGCCGACCAACATCCATTTCCTTGCGTGACACCTTCACACTCGTCGAAGGAGATACCAGCGCGAGTATCTCTTATTAAGGCCAGTGTTATAAAAATGTTCGCATATAATATGGATGTTCGAGAATCGTGCAAATCGGGAACAGGAGGGACCTCTAATCGTGCTCCGAGCAACTCATCTCTCCCCCCCGTTCTTATGAGTTGGAGTGCGCTTCGCGACTCCAAAGCCTCAGATCTTCGGATCCGCCTCCTCTCTTCGTGCATAGGCCGGGCTATACCCCACTTCCTCCCGCGATCCTAGGATCACCTTTATCGCGAGGACGCTGCTGTCTGAGTCATCCCTCTCGCAGTGGGCTTTCCCGCGATAAGCAGAGTCCAAAAAGGGTCCTAGGTCGCAGGAGCGAGAGGTATCGTCCCCGTGTGCCTACATCCTCCATTCTCGCTAGTTCTCACACCAGCGTCTGACAGCTCCTACAGGTAAGTATGCAATGCGATTCGCTGTTTCTTTTCTTCCCAAGCCAATGTTCTCCGATTCCCTTCTTATAATCCCTGAGGCCCACGAATCGCATGTTCTTGAGATCTCGGCTCTCCTCATCCTTGAGCATACGCCGCTCATTTGACTTTCCGCCCTCTCGACTTGCTCGCTAAGCTGAGGATCTTCAATCAGAAGGAAGACTCCCCACGGAATGACGTCCTCTGCTTTATTATGAAGTAAAATGCGATAGGGCGGATACCCTTCGTTGGCGTGCACCTTCTCTCTTCCCCAACAACATTTCATCGTCTGCCCTGTGTGGACACGTATGTAATACTCAAATCCATCCCTCCTCGTCATGGGACAACAGCTTGTTCTTTGGGGAAGATGAGTATCTCATTTCTCAGCCATGTTCATTCTCTTGTCGTTCTCATCCTCTCGTTCTGCTCGTATCATCCCCCCTTATCAGAAGCCTCCCTTTCGTCCTTCAACGGATAGCGCGCATGAACCGTGCGCAACCCCACTGTCCCTGGAGTGCACCGGGTTTGTACCGTCTCGCATGTATAATATCTGCTGCCGGTCCAGGACTGCTTCTCGGAACAGCAATAGTTCGCACGAGGTTTGAATATGCTGCTTGTGTCCTGTGTACTCTCGGCCTTGCTTCAAGCTTCAAGCTTGTAGGTCTAGGATCTTCAACCGGCCGTGAAAGGTGTGCCCATCCTACTTTCCGCCCTCTCCAATTGTCTCCTGAGCCGAGGATTTTTCGACGACGGCAATGAATTATCCCAGAACGATCCCCTCTGCTGCCTGAATCGGATCATGGGAGAGGGCGGAAATCGTTCGTTGGAACGCACCTTCCTTCTTTCCCTACCCTATCATGCTTCTCAGTATCGCTTCGTTCCTGGGCGCGAAGTTATTGCGAGCCTCCTTTCTTATGACGGGCTGCCTAATATATCTTCTGGACTAGGATGGGGCGTATGGCCGATGTTCATGCATTGCTCGTTGTATCGTCTCTCTAATGAATTAGGTCGCCTCTTTACCATATGCCTCCCTTTCATCCGCGATAGAGTCGAGTATTCAAGCCATCTTGACTGGTAAGTTCTCCTCTGTGACCGTTGTCAGTTGAATCAGCAAGAATGAATAAGATTTTATTATCCCCACTGCGATCCCAAAGACGGGTCTACTGCAGAACCTCGTTGTACTTAAATCAACGGACGGCTGTCCGTTGAAGTGATCCTAATCGGAACGGTACATGCGCACAAAGTAGCGAGAAGTCGATAGCTAGAATGATAAGAGGGACAGACCCGCACCTAAGTTCTTGACGGTCCTACGGATCCTGCTTCCACCGAACGTATGGCCGGGACGATCTGTTTCACAGGCGAATTTTGCCCGTGGAGACAACCTATAGCCAGGATAACGCGCAGCTCAGTCGCACAGTACGTGGGTGCACAGCACCATACTTGCAAGCTCAAAGACACTACAAATACGGTAAAAAGTAGACTATGAAATTTTAACCGAAGTAAGCAAACAAATCCAATGAAATTAGAGCCATCATATATACTTTTACACCATTTGCGAACCCACGCATGGTCTACAAGCACGGTGACCTTTGACCCCTTTGACTTACCCTGCTTTTATCATTTTTTTTTTGCAAACTCTTTGTTATCGCTAAAAATGACCCCTTTCGTGATTTTACCCAAATTTGAAAACACAAAGAAACTAATTGTTCGGTGAACACAATACAATACTTTTATCCAACATTGACCTGTTTTGGGCTTGCAACTACGGTGCGGTGCGCCCAGTGAAAGATAAGGAAAAGGCGCAACGAACGCTGCTGCCATATGCATGATCCAAGATCAATATTAAAATTAGATTGCCAGAAGGCCGCGGTCAAGACACATTCTACATACGAGTTGGAAAAAACGACGGGAGGATGAACGTTCCAGATCCTTGAAGGATCAAAGAACGAGGTATTTCGGAAATATGTTCGTGTTGACGGCGGACGGAGAGCGTCTTGGAAGGGAAGGAACTCGGATACAAGGCCGGCCAGGGAACATCGGTGATGGCTATTCCTAAGGCCCAGCGTAGAGGCGCTGGAACGTCGACAAAGATTCGCTATCTTGGAAATGGCGGATAGTACGCTAGCCTACGAACAACGTTGGATCTGAAGCCACCACATACTCGTGTGCCATTCAACGAGGGTCTGAGAATCCGTCTTCAGGGATATTCTTATTCTATGGCTCGAGGAAGGGCTCTTTTGCGAGGAGGTAAGCTTGTGTAATGTGAGAATATAGATGTTAGTAGGGGTAAGCTGAATGATTCTGGCGAAGACGCACGAGGAAAGGGAATAAGAGAGGCTTACAGAAGATACAGCGCGTTGCAATGTAACTCTAGAGATGAGGCAAATTTGATGAGAAAAGAGAGTCGCCGAGTGAGAGGCCCCCTTCAGTACCAGCGGAATTGAGACGACGCAAAACTAAGTGGAATGGGTTACGCAGCAACATCTGAGATGAAACTCAATCGCATCCTCTGTTTCTCAATCTACACAAGTCAGCAAACGCCGAAAGAGGGAACGCGCGAGATAACGTTGCAAGCGTGATCCCTCAAATCAGTGTTTCATGGAGACCCTGAAGCAGCGGACGGGAGAGATGGGGATGAGAATTGTGATTAGTCTTGTGCGGTGTAGGAGTCTGGTAGGACAGGCGCGCCGGGGAAGTAGCGAGGAAACCGAGGGGTCCGTGTCATCATGAGAAGGAGCCGGAGTGGGGCGGATTACAATGAGGTTGCGGTAAAATAGATACGTGGAAAGTTATTGGGACTGAATTACGACGGGCGACTCGAAAGCTGAAGAGGAACGAGAGTTTGACCAGAGTGGAAGTGAGATCGAAACCTAAGTAGCGTGAGAAAATGTTGGTAATCACGGTCAAGGAGCCGAACAAGAATCTCTCACTCGACCAGGGACCTCGAACTTTTCAACTACTCTATGACCTCGACCAACCCGAAGAGAACGCCTCGCGACATCGTTATATCAAGTTCAACGCACGCGCACGCCAAAGTCCCTATCAAAGCAAGTGACAGCAGATCCTGAGCACGAATAAATCGGTCAACGGGTCGAGGGTCGAAGAGTCCTAATTTGAATTGCAAGAGTGCGTTTCGGTCAATTCACGGCACGCGTAGCTCGACTTACGGACGTGTACTCTCTCCATAGGTCTAGGAATCACTCATCTGGCGACCGAGTACTCGGTAAAACACAAGTTTATCCACCTTGTCGGGAATCGTGGGCATCCTTTCTCATCTACCGCCCCGTACCTCGTTTTCTGAATACCGATTTCGTTTTTCTCGCATCGACGTAGGTCATCGACTGTAATGAAGCTCCACCCAGCGTTTCTAGCGAATACCTTTCCTTAAAGAATTCTTCTTGGTCCTCGTAATGCAAGACTGGTGCGTGCCCTTTCCTTCCTTTTCACGACTCTTTCTCATATTTAGTTTCCACAGCGCATAGCCCACGCGAAAAGACCTATTTGCTGTCCTTCCCAACGATCCCGGGAGGTTCCTCTCGGACAACGCCAAGAAAATGCAACGGCGACCTTCGGAAGGGCTACAAAATCACTGACAGCAAGTTGACGAACAATGGAGTTAGAGGATAAGCGGGCGGAACTGGCGATGCGGAGGATGAAGAAGGTTCAAAACCGAGCAAAGAGGCCCCACCACCGCCACCGAAGAAGGCGAAACGCGAGGATAACTGTGAGTGATCTTCAATTTTCTCGTTTATTCGTATTTGCGTTACGTGCTAGCTACCACGCTCCCAGCGTCGTTCCAGCCACATTTCTCTTTGTTGGTCATTTACGTTTCGGGCCGTCGCTGACTTGTTCTCCATTTTCAGCGAAAGAAAAAACAATCGACAAACCTCAATCCGTAAAAGTTTGTGATGGGCGGGATAAGCTTCAAAAAGCCTACTTTCCTCAGCAACAAGTCGATACCGAAACCAGACGTATGAGCTACGTTCTGTCTCTTTTACAACTTCTCTCAGCGACGTCAAACAGCCCGTGTCGGAAATCGATCAGCTATTCAAGACGGTAGAGAAGGAATATGAGGAGACGATGGCGAAGCACGGAGCAGCTGCGGGTACGTTTTTGTATATTCTACGTCTTTTATTTTTCGTTCGTTCTACCGGCTTCGTGATTCTTCCTTCTGTGTTCATTTTGCCGTCACCGATTTTCACGTTCAAAGCCTGTTCATACCTTTCTTGCGCACCGCACCCTATATCATTACCTCTCTCTGGGTCTTCTTCATTTCCAGGCGCCATTCATTCCGTTCTTTGCCCTCCATCGTCGATTTTTGCCCCTTTTACTCATTTTTACGAACCCTCGTCTTTCGGCATCTCTAAACGTCTCTAAACCCCTCCTACTCCTATATCTTCTCATCTATCGTTCTTGTCCTCTCTCATCAGGCAACATTGCTCCCTTATTCCTTCCTCTTCTCGCAATCGTCGATCTTTGCCCTTATTTTTCTACCCATTATCGCTCGTCTTTACGCGCCTTTCAATGTTTCATTCTAATGTTTCTCAACTCCTTGAACCCCCTCTTCCTTCCATATCTCCTGCTTTATCCGCTTACCGTTTATCTTTCTTCGTCTCTCAACCTCGCTGAGCCCTCCTCCATCTAGTTCTCAAAAACCCTCAGGGTCAAGTCATCTGACGTCTAGTAGCACATCCCATCACAACCCGAAGAGAAAGTATCCTTTGGCTGCGAATTCAAAGCTCAACGCGATCCTCGACAAGCACTGCCTAATCCAGCAAGCGAACGCGCCCGTTGACAGCTCGCCGACGTCGGGGTAGCAGAGGAGGAAGAGGAAGAGGAAAAAGAAGTTACGCAGGAGACGAAGATCCTGGATTTATATTTGAACGGGCATGGTGGGTTTTCCTATTGACTAGTCGCATCTTGTGAGTGCTGATGCAGGATTTGAACGTGCATAGGTGTTGTTGGCTCTCCGGTTGGTGCTGTAGACGCCATGGTGGCAATTTGTCGGTGTTGGGCGACGCCACCATCTCGGAGGCGGAACAAAACTCGAACCAAAGCGAAGCCGCCGGGGCTGGTCCCCCATCTTCACCCTCTCAGAGGTGGTTGCTTGTTCAATCTGCTGTCTTCGCCGCCAAGACATTTTCGAAGCCTCGCTGCCCGTCACCACCACCATGACAGTGTACTACCTGTCCGAACAAGGCGATGATGGAGTCAGAGGATGAGAGCGCGAGGCGTGCAAGGCGGAGGAAGAAGAAGAAGAAGAGAATGCCAGCTCGAACAAGCAGCGCTTGCCACTGCCAGCGAAGAAAGCGAAATGCGACAGATAAGACATGGTAACGATCGTGAGTTATTTTTGGCTTCCTCGTTTACGTGTTATGTGGCCTCTGCCATGCTTTCAACCTCGCCTCTACTTTATCGTCTTCCATCCTGGTGTCGTCCTTAGACTGCTTCCTGACTTTTTGTTTGTTTCAGCAAACAGCGCCAGCGATCCTCAATTCGTAGAAATTGACGATTGGCGGGACAAGCTCTAGAAGACGTTTCTCCGCAACAAGTCCGTGCTGAATGCAGATGTAAGAGTAAAATTCTGTCATTTATCCATCGTCTTCTCATCAACTTCCATCAGTCTATGTCCCACTATTCATGATGGCAGAGATGTGTGGGGAGCTGTCAATCGAGCACCTCTAGGTATGTTCTCGTTGCTTCTGTCGTCTCGAAACCACGATTGTTGTCCTTTTTTCGCTCGTTATTTTTACCCATTTTGACTTCCAAATCCCGTTCCAATATTTCTTATGTCTTTATCTACTTTCGAATCGCAACTCATCGTCTCTCCATGCGCCGTAATTGCATCCTGGCACCTCTCATTTCATTCCTTACCCTCCATTGTCGATTTTTACTCTTTTTGCCAAGTCCTTTTTTCTACCCCGTATTGTTCGTCTTTTTGCGTCTCTAATCTTGCTCCCATATCTCCTGGATACATCATTGTTGTTGCCCTTCTGTTGATGTTCCTTTCTTCCTTTGTTCGTCCTCATCGACTTCACTCGTCGTCTACCCTATCCTCTCGCTTTATCCTCTTATCGTCTGTCTTTATGCGGCTCTCAACCTCACTCGCCTCCTTCCTCAGATCTCCAATATCGGCGAAGTCACGTCATGCGGCGCATAGCACCTCATCCCAGCCTCTCCTGGCGCGAAGAGACAATGCACCAAGACGGCGAGTCCAAGAGCCAAAGTACGCATCGACAAGCGATGGCAGATCCTGGATGTGAATGACCCTGTCGACGGATCGAGCTCGGGGTGGGGGCAGGTCAATGGGAAGAGGGAGAATGGCAGGAGGACATTGCGCAAGGGAGGAAAAACTGGGATCCGAACGGGAATGGTGTGTTTTGCGGTTGCTGCTGATACTTTTTGTGGGTGCTGATGAGGCGTTAGTGGGTCTGTAGATGTCATCAGCTCGCCGGCTCCTTCTTCGAATGTGACTGTGGTCGAGTTGTCGATCATGGGCGAGGTTACTATGCATAGAGCTCGAATAGATGGCAAGTCGGCCGGCCAGACGTTCTTTGCGGGGATGGCTTCATTCGTAACTCGTCGTTCCTCGTCGCCTCACCTTCGCCGCCAGGACATTTTCACGAATGCGAAAATCTCACTACCCTGGACCGCCTGCCTGCCGCCACCCCCATAACAACGCACCACCCGTTCAACCTTCCGTCATCCGCCCTCTATTGCCTTCATTCCTCCTCTTATTCTATTTCCTCGCCCGAATAGATCCTTTTTCTCCCTCCGCCCTACTCTCCTTCTCCTTTCCCTTACTTTCCGCTCGTTATTCCCTTTTCTTCCGCCCATTGACGTCGCCCATTCCTTCCTGGATGCTTACATTATTGACGTCAACTGTTAGACCTTTCGTAGGCTTTAACTCAGCTCTACTCTTACCCCGCGTCGTTGTCGTCGTCGCAACCCATGTTTTTTAGTTCCGCGTAGTGCTCTTTTACTCTTTTGTTCTCCGTCGGTTTAGAGTGCGTGCGTTCTCCTATTCAGAGTCGTTCTTTTGTGGTTATGTATCCGGGCGTTCAATTTCATTTATTTCTTTCTTTTTTTTCTCTACTGCGTGTCTTTGTTGAATGCCACGCTCGGCGCTCTCGGGGTTGATCTATCATTGCTCATTGTTTCCCAGTTTTCTCTTCATTTTCCAAGTACGTATATCAACGGACGGGTAGGGGAAGCTGGTTTACACATACTCCCCTCTGGCGATTAGAGACGTCAACGCGGCTCGCGTCGTCCGATGTGAAATTGAGTCTTGGGGGTGGATAAAGAGGCGGAGAGGAGAAAACCAAAGAGAAGGCGGGAAAGCACATTCAAGACCATCGAACCTGAGAAGGTACTGAAGGGGAATTCGAGACGAGACGCATTGAGGTATGAAATTCTGAAAGCCGATGGGGCGTCGTACCACCGCTAAGGGTCCGTTCCTCGGTCGCGAAAGCTAGCCAGCTCCGTGCCGTCGAAGCTCATGCGCATCGCTCATTGGTTATACACGAAAGCTAAGTACAACAACAGTATTAGACGTCCATGGGCCCGGGGACATCCTCCGAAGGCGAGAAGACACGGAGGGTTCATAAATGATAGAGACAGTCAAAAGCAGGGCCTCTGGGCTAAAAGCAAGCTACAAGAGAAGAAGCTTCATCCAATATTATATCGCGGGGCGGTATCAAAGCAGCTAGAGGAACCCGCGAGGCAGATCGTGCGTCTCGTATCCCCAATGCAGCACATCGCAGACGGTACCGTAGATTAAGACGTGAACATTTGAACCTCAACACGGACGGTTCGAGCGCTACCAGTGCCACCATCTGCACGATCCAAGAATTTCACAAGACAAATTTCATCACATGAGTGCCGTTTCTTAGGGAGAGACTCATCTACTGATGAAACGAACGGCGCTCAGTGAAGGTGCCTCAAGTGGAAACTTGGATCGATACCAGGGCAGCAGGTAGACAGGAGGAGTTTAGATTCGAAGGAGTAGTCGATAGGCAGACCGTGTGCAAGGAGTAACTTGATCTGGAGAGGGCTTGAGCGGAACGATGAAGGCTAGCAAAGGGCTCGAAAGGTAGCGCGAACGCTCACCAGTTATGCCACCATGATACCTATGAGAGGGCCTGAAGGTGCGAAAAGCGCCCTTCCTCTTGTACGTCCAGGGTGATAGCACTCGGGGTGGAGGGAAACGACAATCCCAAGACCAACAGCCGGTGACGTCCAGCGAGCATCTGCCACATCTATCAGCAAGAGGGGGGTCATAAATAGGGGAGTAGGAACGTATATCCGGCCGCAAAGGTGAAGGAGATGGCGGTACGCCTCTAATCGTAACCCGAGCCACTCGCTCCCCGCTCTTATGAGTTGGCCGCCGCGTCGCGACTTCAAAGCGTCAGCGCTCAGCTTCAGATCTTCAGATCCGCCTCCTCACACGCACGTGGCGCATACACCGCATACCTCACATCCTCCCGCGATCCTAGGATAACTCTATCGCGAGGACGCCACTGTCTGAGCGATGCCTCTCGCAGTGGCCTTCCCGCCGATGAAAGATTCCGCAGGACAGTCCTAGGTCGCGGGAGCGTGTGGAATGGTCCCCTTGCGCCAGGTCCTCCATTCTCGCTACGTACGCCGACGTCTGAACTTGCTTCCGTAGGTACGTAACACAACCTATCCGCTCTTTTGGTTCCTCGCCTATTCCATTCTTATCATCCGCACTCACGAAAGGACACTGTGAACCAGCCATCCTCATTTGTGACCGAAGACCGAAGAGCGCCCACTCGATTTTCCGTCCTCTCCGCTGGCTTCGCAAGCTGAGGATATCTCGATAGCGAGGGTAAACTTCTTCGGAGCGAGATCCTCTGCTGTCGCTAACTCCTCTGAAGAGGGCGGAAATCTTTGGTCGGTGTTTACTTGCGTGCTTTCCCGACGGGGTCTATGATATTAATTTACTTTCGTGGTTATACTGTCGTTCTTGTCACACGAACCTCCCGCTACCCCACTGTTCCTGGTGTGCGCGAAGTACCCACCCATGTCGCTTGGAGGATCCTACTCCCCGTAGGTTCTTCTGCGGCAAGGTTGTACGCACATCATTGGCAGCCGGAAACAATGTGGTACACAACGGGATTCAAAGACGCTGCTCGTCATTCAGGCTGCCTTCTACATCGCGCCCCATGCAATCTATTTTTTTCTCTTGCACTTTGTCTTCCTCAATAAGTACTAGAGTATCATACCAGAGCAATTTAAAATCTCCTACATATATATTCATTATATTATTATTTGGCTGTGAAACTGAATTGTTGAAACAACTAGGAGAGAAATGATCAATTGACTCTCGTTCTCGCTGTCATGTAATCTATTATTATATGGATCGGCAAGGACGACCGAGATTTTTATTAGAACGGAATGCGTAGACAAGGTGATCAACGTCGCGAATTAATGTTAAACAGCCTACTCGGTGCGAACACGGATAAAGACACCAAGGCCAGTCGCATAGCACAGCAAGATCGACAGAAACCAAAAAGAACGCAGGGAAAATGCGAAAAAGGTACAACGAACGCTGTTGTGGGTACGATCCAGAACAAACGCAAAGGTATTCACATCACCGGTGCACCGTCCTAAAGACGCCTTCTATATACAGAAGGACGAACGGTTCCCGGTGATTATGTCCCCGCATGAGACGCAGAGGGGCCTGTAGGAATGTTCCAAATTCTTTGGAGGATCAAAGGACAAACAACGTGTTTTGAAAGAGGGTGCTTTGATGTACGCGCATAAATTCTGAGGTCCAACAATGCTGTGGACAGATAGAGCCTCAGGCCTCAGGCTCCAGGCTCCAGGCTGCAACGCCGGTAACCCAGCACGATGTCATTGTGAACGCCCCCAATGCCGCCATGTGCACGATCCACTAATACCACGAAATCCATTTAATCACTTGAGCACCGTTTCTTATGGCACCCATCTATCGATGAGCGGAACGGCGCTCGGTGAAAAAGTGGATCGGTACAAGAGCGGGGGGAGAACAAGGAGTTGAGATTCGAAGAATGAATCAATAGGCAGACCGTCTGCGAGGAGGAAACCGATCAGGAGACGGCTTGAGCAGAACTGTGAAGGCCAGCGGAAGCTCGAAAGATAGAGATCCGGGGTGATAGCGGAAGATGCTACACAAGAAGCTGCACAGAGAGTGTGGTTCGCGATATAAACTTTGGCCTTGGTGCCTCGCAGTCGACACGTAATAAGGAATACGAAGTCCAGCAGGAGAGGGCAGGCTTATGGGCAAGGTCAAGGATCAGTGATCAGCGCTCAGCTTCAACAGTCAATGATTAACAGCAAGCATCCACCATACCTGTGTGCGACTGCCTTTAAGCGAATGAAGCCCTCGAAAGCCTTTGAGAGCACAGGCGTCATTCGCAAAGTTTGCAACCAGGAATGGCGGAAGGACGTGTAGCATGCCACTGAGTATCCGTATAGGACGAAGCAATCGGAGGGACATAAGGGAACAGGAAATTGGATCGGTAGATCAACCCAGATAGGCGACAGAGGTGGCATATGTGGAGAAGGAGGTGATGGTACGAGGTCAAGAAGGATGTTGTCATCAGTTTGGCATGAGTCATGGAAGATAAGATGAGATCAGGATCCAGGCGCTGAATCTCACATTATCTTTCCCTCCCTCCCTTCCTTCGACAACGACTAGCTGCCCCTTCGAAACGGTCCCCGACGATGTCGATGACCCTTTCCTGGTTTCCGCCACTGAACGAACTAACCCCGGCTCCCAATCGTCCACATCCACTATCCATTCTTCATCAATTCGTCCTCAGTGTATCAGCGATCCCCAAGTCGACGAACGTCCACCACCTGCCCTGTCACCTTTACACTGGTCAAAGAAACACCCGTACGGGCACCTCTCACTACGCCAGTGTTGGACTCGCTAGATTGTGCTTGGCAGACGTTCGAAAACCGTGCACGGTGCAAATCAGGACCAAGCTGTAATCACACCCTGGCCCATCTCGTTCCCCGATTTCTCTCGCTTCCATCTCATACTAGTCGCCAGGTGGTCGTACACCTGTTCTCTCCGAACTCCCTTCGTCCACTTTGCGCATACCCCACACGTCCTCCCGCGATGCTGGGATCACCTACAATCGCAAGGACGCCGCTGCTTGAGACATACCTTTCGCGGTTTTCTTCCTCGCCAGTCGGACTCATTTGATCTACTCTACATTGCAGGACCATGTCTGTGTTTCAGCTGCACTTTCCTCCTTCCTCCATCCCGCCCACGTACCCCGACATTCTAATTTCTAGGCATCTCGATACCGATCCCTACCCCGATCGTCCAGATAGCCCCCTCTCCTTATGATCTATCCCATTTCTCTACTAAACGCCGCTCATTCGACTTTCTTTCCGCCCTCTTGGTTAGGTCGCTGAGCTGAGGATCTTCAAATCCGAAGGTAGACTTCCCTCGGAACGAGGTCCTCTGCTAATTAATTCGACCTCTCGATTAATGAGGGCGAAGACCTGTTGTCGACATGCACTGCCGTTTGTTCGCGATAGGATTGTCTTGTCTTCGGTTCGTCTGTCGGCGATAAATCATCGCCGTCCTCCTTTCCCTTCCTCCTTAATTTCCCAACGCGTCTTCTCGAATAAGCCGACTAGCACGGGTTTCTATACTTCTTTGAAGTTCTCTCCTCGCTGGATCACCGGATCACCGATTTTTTTTTCCCTCTTCATCAAACGCCTCACCTGCTCGCACCTTCTACTTCGTCGCCAGAACCCCCCATCGCCCTCCACTGCCTCGACATGACACTATGACTCGCACCTACACATCTCGAAGGAGACGTCTGTCCTACGACGATTGCGTTGAGTGCGTGGATTCGCTTGAGGTATTAGCGTGTTTGAGGCGGTGGATTCGGACGATGGCAGTGTACTCGGCAAGGTAAATATCAGAATACCAATCAAGTCCCTGTGCTTCTCGTAAACTATATCTCACTTCATAATGGTCCTACTCTGGTCGATGCGCTTTAAACTACACCATAAAATGTCTCTTGCGTGTCGTGGCCAAGTCATCCTTCTTCTCGGTGTAACTTTTAAGACTTTACTCCATGAGATCCTTGCACATGGGTACATTTCTGTACTCCGTGCGGCCGAGCGTACACTCCACATCTTCCCGCGATGCTAACACCCGGCCATATACTAAGGATGACGCCGTTCCAGTGGTAATATTGATTGACTGGTATTGATTGAGGGGCCTGTTCTACTTTCGCGGGTGAGATTTCAGTGCGATGGCTATTTAGAGCACGCCTTCCTTCGAGTCCTGGAATTTCCTCCGTTGTACTAGACGATATCTGGAGGACGTTTTCTCCGTCTCGCTTTCTGTTGAATCTCCAGAAGGCCCACGAGAGAGTTACTCCTACATAGTTCTTGAATGTAAATCTCTGCCAATTCTTCTGGGGTCTCACCATCAATTCCTGAGGTGATTTTTCGAGCATGAGGATCGATGCATATTTCCGTCATATATAGCAACTTTTGATTTAAATTCAAAACACAGTGGCCGGGTACTTAGAGCGAAGGGGACCGACTTGAGGAGTTTCAGCCAATTAATGTACGGTCTTCTCGGATGTCGCCAGACCGGCAGTTAGCCTTCCATATGAGGCATCCGACGTCGGAGCAGCCCGAATGCCCTGCTCTGCTCACCACCACCACCACCATGTTCTTCTCCAACCTTGCATTGAACTCTCCTTTCGGCGACATGCTAGATTCTAGTCTGAAGATCGCTGCTCCCTACGCCGGGCACCCGCTTTATCAATGGCTTTGAGGTCATGTCTGCATAACCAACATTTCGCCGTTTGAACATTTCTCATTGTGGCTGGCTCGAACACTATGTTCAAGTTCCTCCCCGGACAGATGTGCTTGCCAGGGGTACGTGCTCTCCGATCCTCTGAACGCGTGACACAATCGCCGACACCCTCTCGCCATACCTTTAGTCGCTCTACTACTGGGAGCCTTATCTCACGAAGAGACATGTCGTCGACAATTCTTCATCTCAGAACTCTCGCAGAACCCTGAAATACACACTATAGACGAGGGAACGAAGGAGTTATACCAATGATCGACGCTCGGCAGTACGTCCCGTTGTTTCTTATCCTCATCCCCTCCTTAATGTCCCTTTCGAACCTGCAGATGATCCACCACCACCAACCATTTCAGAAGTATCTCACTCCTCAGCACCTGCCCCAATAGCCCGTATGAGACACCTCTACCTCTCGGCGACACAGCATTGGTGCCGTCAACGCAATTCCGGACGGACGTCGCTCGAGTAGGATTAAGAAGTCATTGCGTCAGGGACAACCCATCTTATCCACCCAACACCAATATACCTTTTTTCCCCTCGCCAAACCCACCCCGTTCGACCTTCGACCATCCGCAAATCAGCTGCTGAAGCCTGGACGTACAACGCCAGGCCCATGCACTCGTTACTCTGTTTCTAAATCCTTACTGCTCCGGACCTTCAACGCCTGCGCGTCCAACTTTCTCCGTCCAACCCCCAAGATTTTGAGATCCAACAACCACCTCTCGTCTACTACAAAGGATACTCCAGGCTGTGGCTAGTGCTGCTATCGCTGTTCGAGAAGTCGACCCGGCTTGCAAATTACAAGTCAAATAGTGGACTGCTGTGAGCAAGTCTCTAGATCTTCTATGGGACTTCCTCTGATAATGGACTTCATCAGATAACTCCATCCTCACCACCACCCACAGGTCCTGTAGCCTTCAATGCCGAGCGACGAGCTGATGTTGCGGGAGGATGTTGTCCTCATGGGCTCGAAGGCGCTTCCGAGACGTCTGCGACGAATCTGTCCGTGGTATACCCTCCACTCTAGTATGCTCCTTCCAGACGCTCGAATCACGAACACTGAGAAATACAAGGTACGTCTCGCGTCTTAAGTTCCCAAAGCTCGTACACTTTCTGATTGGTATCGTTCTCTAAAACCCACAGATCATACTCAATACGTCAGCTCGTTCTTAGTTCGTCACCGATACTCCATGTGCACGGTGCGTTCGTTCGACCGAATTCATTTTGTTGGGCTAATATCGATCCCCGAAGTGGGGACAATAGCAGTCTCTATCGCCAGAGAGTCGCCTTATAATTTGCTAGCGATGACTAGAACTCGGATGGAACAGTTAGGCGGCCGTCGGGGTGTGGGCGGGTGGTGATCCGGTGGCGAACTTGAAGCAGAATAAGCTGGAGAGCCGTTCTACGTGCGGATGGACAGCTCATGTGAATTACTTTGTTGTCCTTTCGAAATCCACACCGACAAATTTACTTCTCCACTACGCATCGTCGGGATGATCTGAGGAGACTACATTGGGAGCGGTGCATTTGTTAAAAGGGGGGGTAAGTCGGCATTCACAATATCTGGCTTCCAACTGCCAAGAATACAGGAAGACTAGCTCAAGGAATAATATGCCTGCGAATCAAAAGTAATGTACATACAACTATTTGACCTCCTCCTAGCTTGTACCGAATCTACGTCTACCAAGAAGAAATTGATGCTAACCATGACCAACTATTATACAAAACCAAGAAACACATATGTGAGAGCGAGTAGCATGCGCAAAGGAATAGTAGTGATGGCCAACTGTATCGATACATCGCCGAAGTTCCCTACCAAGCTTCGACCCGAATCCGGACGCCTCTGAGGCGAGGAAGGTACCTCGGGACGACATCCTTCAGGAAGGCGCTCCTCTCAGCAAGCGGCGAGTGAAGCACGACGTCAGTAATCGGCTCAACATGCCTTTCCTCCTCCTCCTCCTCCTCACCGTTGGTGTTTGATGTTCCGATACCGCGTCTCGCCGCCTCAACAACCTCCATCCTCGTCGCGAGCATACAGAGGATATCTTCGGCGTTCGCAAAGCTGCTGGGCGTCACTTCGAGAGCTCTGAGCGAAGGCAGGAGATCGGCGATCTCGAGCTTGCGGAGTGTAGCATTGTGGGTGAAGATACCGCGAGGGAGACGGAGAGTGTGGAGGTTCGGGGTGGACTCTAAGAGCGCCTCGAGCTCGAGATGGGTGACTTGACGTCGTTGTCGGTTGGCGAGAGAAGAGTGAGTGGTGGTAGGTCCTGGAGCGTTGATGAGCTCGAGCACTTCCAGTTTCTTGGAACAAGAGGCGAAGAGCGGGCGGAAGAAATGGAGGTTCCATCCATCGGTATTCGGGCTCGTCATATCAACACGAAGATCCCTGAGACAAGGAACGGAGACACGGCCGAAGAAGCCTGCATCGGTGAGGCCGTTGCCTTCAAGAATGACCCTAAGCTCCCTCAGCGCCTTCATCCTGACCGGCGGCGGGTCCATTAGCGATCGGTGCGCGGAGGCGCCGAAGTCGACACGGAAGGCCGCTTCATGCAGGTTCGTTGCTGCGCGGTGCATAACAACCAACGTGACATCGGACGCTAACGCGATGCATCCAAGGTCGAATGAGACGAGGTTGGACCACGGAATTGAGATGTCGAGGATCTGGGAGGAGTGGACAGGTATGTTGTGCATATAGTAGACGGTGCCGAAGTAATCTTTGGCGGACATGATGTCGACGATGGGTGATCAAGTAGCGGAGACGACCTGAGAACGGGGTAATTTCTGGTCAGATACCATAGAAGAAAGAAATCAGGAAAGATATTGCTCACAAGATGAGACCGCCGGCACTCTTGGAGAGAGGACGATGGTGAAGGTTCTGAGGAAAGAGCCGGGGAGAAAGCATCGCTCGCGCCATTGCCTATATGTGAAACCTTGTGTCCGATTCTGATAGATAAAGAGGGTGAGATTCACCTCAGCGACCTGCTTTCTTATTTTGCGGCCTGTCAAAGTAGGCTCGTCAACTGGGTACGTCTATTTATTTATTTTCCGAACGGCGACATACCTGCGAGTGAATTTTATCCTCGTCCGGCAGCATACAGGGGAAGAGAGGCCATCTGTGTGTTCTGCATTAAAAATTAATCTGCAAGAAATGTTGGAGAGGAAGATGAAAGTACCGATTATTGGTCCTGCTCACATTTCTCCTTAGTGCGCCCATCATACGGCATCATGACTGGATTAGGAAGCTTCCAAGAAATTCAATGGGCGCATGAGCGCCGATTTGAACATATATAGAGGAATATGGCTTGCCTATCGTACACGAGGCACGCTTCACTGCGCGAGCCACTTCCTTAGCCTACGCAGCACTGCCCTGTCCGTAAGATCTTGTCAAATGACGGGGTAGTTTTCTGGGAAGTGGGCCCCGAATGTCCAATTGGAGAGACAGCAGTGGTGAGAGGAAGGGAGAATGCTGCGGGCAGTCGCTGATGGGGTTGCAAGTACTGTCTGCGTGACTTTTGCCCTGTCGCGTTGGGCCAGCAGGAGGTCAGCTCAGAATCCTGAAGAGAGATTTGTGCGGAAGATGCCGAAACAACAGCCTCGAAGATAGATTCGACGAAGCGAGATAAGATAAGATATCCGGGAAAGTGCGGGCCGCCAAAGAAGGATCTACGCCACGCCCCACTCACCCTTTCCTTCTCGCTCTTGCCACCACAATGACCCCCTTACAATTCCTCCTCGATGCTTCGCCCAGAAACAGCCCCAATTTCAACCCACCCATCTTTTGTCAATCTACACGTATTTATTCCCAAGTTGACTCTCCTCCGCGTAAGGTATCGAGACTTGTCGTTGAATCATCTATGCTTTATGCTTATCCATTGCAATCCCTAGCATTGTCTTGCATGACTACTCTATCAACATTGATCAAATGGGACGCTCATATGAGCAGCCCCGCCCCGCTGTTACGCAGGTGTATTCAGACATTGGGGTGGTGGATGGGAGCAGCATCAAGAGGAAGAAGTATCGGTATCGTGGCTCCCTCACTCGAAGATCTCGTACTTGCGCCTCATACCTGTCGGATAGGGGAGCCCATGGCTCCAAATTCACTTTCTTCTCGCCCTGCGCGACCAACTCCTCTCATACGATTTGTGCATAGACTCCGCACACCAAGTCCTCCCACGATCCTGACCTCATCTGAATCACGAGGAGGCCATTTCTCGATTCATGCCTTCGCAATGGCTTTCCTAGAGATTCTCATGGATTGTCGTCACGTTCGTTCTGCTTGCTCCAGCGCCGCCACGTATTCTGGCTCTGTAATCTGCTCAATGTTCTTCTTGTCCGCAAGCCCCCTGTCCTGGATTAATCGTCCTACTTAATGGCCGAACACCGCTCATTCTGGTTTCCACCCTCTTAGTTCACTGGCTGAGCCGAGGATACCTTTATTACGAAGGCAGACTTCCTTCGGAGCGAGATTCTTTGCTGTGATGCTTGCTTGCGCCAATTCTGGGTGGAAACTTTCCGCCGTGCACTTTCATGCTTCTGTCCTTTCGCAATGTGGCTTCATGCTGTTCGACCACGTTGGTGCTCGTACTTTCGTTCTTGTCGTATCTTCTCATCTTAGCCAACAGCCTCTCTCCTCGAGCTCTTTATCATATTATTGACTTTCTTACTGCTACGAAAGAGCACAGGAACCACGCAACCCCTGTTGCCATTGGCACGCACTCCACACACCCATGCAGCTGATGTCCTCCTGCTCATCGTAGGTCGAAGTACTCACAGGTGTTTTTGAGTGCGGGAAAATTCAGCGGGCGGATCGCGGGGTCCGAAGGCTCTGCTCGTCAATTTCGACTGATGTCTCTCCAAATTTCCCCGACAGGTGTCCTATGTAGATACCGAACACCGCACTTCTTCCTGGACCGCGATGATCTAAGTAGTCACCCTTTCCTTCCCACTTTTACATTATGCGGGCGCTTGTGCCTGACTCTTGATAAATGTCTTCGGTTCCTAGTCGTTGTAACGCCAATAATGGCCAGTTGCTTACCCGCTGAAGGTAATACCCAATAATGTCTCATTAGAGTGACGGTATTCGGGGCGTAAGTTCCTCAAGAAGTAAATTAGACACCAGGAACACTGAGGATTCATTACGCTAGGCCGAACTTCCTCGTGGAATAGGAATTTTTCACCGTGTGTACTCGCGGGATAAACCTCCAAATCGCGCAATCGAGGGCAGCATGGGGCCCAGAAATAGTATTATGTCGACACCGCGGTTCACGGTACACGGGCTTGGGCGAATAAACAGCTAAATATTTCTTGCGAGCGTATGCACGCATAGGGATACATAGCAAAATATTTTTACGGACATGATGGAATAGACGAAGTGAAGCGCTAAAAATCAAGAAAGGACAAAAAAGAGGAGGGTTAGGGTTAGCGATAGCATGAGGCCACCTCGTGCTCGCCCATTCTCTTTCACCTTCACGCTTCTTAGATGTCGTCCAACTCCCCTCCGAGATCCCGCCATGAATAACCAACCAACAAGAAGCACGAAACCCATCAAAGAATACGCGGTCGGCGACATCGTGTTGGGAACGGTGCGCGGTTTTCCGCCCTGGCCAGGGATGGTGAGTGCCTCGTCGCGTCGCCGTCTGCCCTCTGGCACGCGTTTTCTGACCACTGATTGGCATCGGTGTACGCAGGTTGAAGATCTCAACGATGTACCAGACGTCGTCCTCCACGAGCGGCCTCCTGGGTGGAAATCGTCCTTTCGTTGTGTCATGTTCTTCCCAAAGGCTGATTAGTGCGTATACTCCTCCTCCTTTCTACTACCTTTCTAACCACCTCTATACCCACCCCTCAGCGCATGGCTATCCGCCCAAGACCTATCTCCTCTACTACCCAACGAAATCGAAGCATTCCTCTCAAACGACTTCAACCACAAACGCAAGATTGAGCTCACCCGGGCCCACAAGGTCGCCCGTGACCCGTCGGGGTGGGTCAAGGAGGTACGCAGCGCGCATATCCAGCTCCTCCGGAAGCTCTCTGAGCTCGAGCGGTACGCTAAGATTGACGATTCCGAGTCTGAGAGCGATGGTGGCGACGAGGAGGACGTTGAGGTCGACCAGCTCGAGTTTGAGAGTGATGTCGAGGAGGAGGCGGAGGTGGAGGTGGAGGACCTGGTTGCTGGGAAGGAAGCTGAATTGGCGGCGTCGAAGAAGCGGAAGCTCGTATCGGATGTGGAGGCTCCAACAAAGAACAAGAGGGCGAAGACAGTGGACGAGCTGCAGACGCGAGTTGAGGCCATGAAGAGCGGGCCAAAGAGCTATTGGGCGATGATCCAATCGGAGAATGAGGGTGAGGAGGAAGAGGAAGAGGAAGAGGACGAAGAGGAAGAGGACGAAGAGGAAGAGGGGGTTGCTGGTCCGAGCATGACGGAAACCCCACCACCAGCGAAGAGGGCGAGACGGGACGAAGACCACGATAGGGATGTTGATGATTGTGAGTCAAATCTAACTTTTCTTTCGTCTCCCGCGATGGACGTTACCTGGCATCTGCCATGTCCGCTACCGCTACCTTTCTTCTACCCCATCCTCTTTCGTCGTTCGCCCACGTCTCCAGCATTTACTAACACCTCCTACGTTCGCAGCACAAACTCCAGCCTACCCGCAATCAGTGAATGTTTGCCATTGGGGCCACGAGCTGCGACAAACATCTCCCAGCAACAAATCAGCTCCGGCGGCAAATGCAAGAGCTACATCGTCTCTTATTTCGTCGCGTTCTCCCGAATACCCCGTAGCCTACGGCAGAAATGGATCGACTATAAATATTCTGAACGACGATGAAGGCGATGAAGGTTAATATTGAGCGCTGAGCAGCTGCAGGTGGGCTTTCATTGAGGTCTTCGTTTTGATGCCCATCTTTCATTCGTTCGTTGCCCTTCTCCCGTCTAGTATGTCATCTTTCACTGGTGTACTTCGGTCCATTCAAGTCATCCTTTCGTTCCTGACCCCATTGTCGATTTTTGTCCTTTCTTCTTTTCATACTCTACACGCTCGTTTTTTCTTCCATATTCTTCCTTCACTCAACTTCGTCTCAAATTTCCACCTAGTGTTACATAGCTGTCCTCTCCTTTTAAAATTTCCTCCTTTTACCCGCCATCTATCCTTTCTGACCCGCCTCCTTTCCGTTATCCAATCCTCCAAGACATGCAAAATGTCCCCGAGATCGGCGAAGATGTCCTATGTCCTATGCAACGCATAACACCCCAGCCCAGCCCATCACGAAGCGCAATTTCGAATTTGACGATCGCGTTCTGGGTGTAAACGAGCGCACCAAGGCGGACAAGCCCGTCTATGCGTCTCCGACGATCTCTGCACGGAGGCCGGGGCTGGGGGAGAGGCAGTCGAAGGGAAGACGTTGAAGAAAGGCCAGGAGACAGGAGACAGGGAAGGTTCGGATTCGGAGGAAATGGTCACGCAACTGACGAAGGACGGATAAACGAGGATGGTACGCATTCCTTCTGACTAGTTACCTTACTTTTGAATAAGCTGGTGGTGCACATCTTCGGTATGAACTGAGGAGTGTTATTTGTATACACCTTGATCAAGCATTGGATCTCGCACTATTAATTTATACATGCTTGACATGCTACTTATCTACCCAATAAATTTAATCAACATCAAGGAATGAAAGGCGCTCCTCTGTCGTCTTCGCCATGAGCTTGCCGTATACTGTGCATCCTTAAAGTTATACCGCTTCATATCGAATGGCAGCCCTTAATTACCATACCCCCGTGCACAAAGAGCCGCCCACGCGGCGTTCCGCACGAGCAATGTCTCGAAGTGTCTTCTATTAGGCACCGGGTCGATGATAACGATATACATATCGCACGGGACCGGGGACATTTCTTGTACCTAAAGAAGTTAAACTCGATGTTGATATATGGAATTCCTCGCTCGAGCTTTGTCAGGTACCCCATGGGCAGGCTAGGCACGGGTTGTGTACCCCACAGGACGTCCGCCGCCGAGTGCATCGTCTCCCTGGACGTCCCATGGGCCTCAAGATACGCGGACGATGGTGGACGTCCGGACGGCTCGCGTGGCGCCTCGGATGGCGGGTAGCGCACGATCAGGACCATCGCCGAACATGATTACATACTTCAAGCAGCTTGCGGAACGAGGGATGTAGATGAGCGTCCAGGGATGGGGATGGGCATAGCAGAGCAGAGCAAACAGTGAGCTATCCGGATCCACTCTCAGCTATGCGGTGAACCGTGACGGTCGTATACGCACCGAAAATGAAATTTCAGCTTGCACCGCGTCTGAATCCTCCTCCCTTCCGACGTACTTTGAGAGAGTTAATTCACTATCAAGAGTCAAGGTTATGCGAATAAGAAACACGAAGAGCTCTGAGAAGTCGGTTGAACTGCGGCCTCAGGCCTCAGGCCTCGGGCTTCATACGTACTTCAGAAGGAGAACCCAAGGACCGCACTCTTTCGCGCTGTTCGCTGAGCGTGAGCGAAGTATGCGCCTCAAGATCTTGAGATGCTGTCGGAGGGTGGACGTAGGATCCTGTCCTGTAAACCACGACCGTGAGTCGACGACAGCAGACGAGAGGTAATTCAAAAAGATAGAAGACGATGAGAATTGTTACTTGTCTTGGGGGGGGGACATCGAGGCATGTCGATCCTTGAACTGAACTTGTACGCTGCAGCTAAGCATCACCAAAACTCGACTTGCAGGAAGGACTCAAGGCAGGTAGGCAACAGAGGCGGACGCACGCAAGAAGAGAGAATGAGAGAAGAGAGAGAAAAGAAGCGTATGTACACCACACAAAAGACCACTCTGCAGAACGGAACGCACATAAGCCGAGCACAACACGTCGCACGAGAGCATCATGGGCGGAAGTCACAGTTGGAACTTGGGATTAGGAGGAGGAATGCGAGCGATAGCAGCCGACGGTGGAAGATTGAACAAGTGGCATAGATGCTGGCGCTGAGGGGTGAGGGGCAGACCCATCACTAGACGAAGGAGTGGGGAAGTGATCGAATGAACGCCTGAGCCTCGAAATCCCACCCCGGGGCCAGACACAAATTCCGTCGGCAGATTCATACGTACAGTATGAGAGTGGGGATTCGCTCTCGCAGGACCATGCAAGGTGGAAGAGGAGGAGCTGTCCCACCGGAAGACAACATATGTTCGCAGAAGTCCGTCACCCCATTCGGTGTCGCCATTTTCAAGGCGAAGCGAAGCTTCATAAACCCAGACCATGGCCGTTAATGTCATATTGTCTGCACCTCGCTAGTCGCCGTTATTCGAGGGCATGTACCCGGCCCCTTGGCTGGGTGGAAAGGGTGGGGAGTGGGCCGGAACGGCTAATAGCAGGTGGATCAAACTTTAATGGAGTCCACATTCTCAACGAGGCTGCCGCAGTTTAGGGTAGTCTTCTGGAAATACAACGGAGTTGTCCGACGAACTACAAACGGGACAAATAAACGCAGAAGGGCCTTTTGAACCAGATCAAAACAAACTGTCGTGTCTCGAGGCAACTCCCGAGCTCGTGCATAAGCTAATTGCCATGAAACAAGCGTTCTAACGCAGCGGCATACTGTTTCGAATCTGAAACTGCATCTTGGTCGCATCATGCAGCCGTTGCACAAAAGCATCCTTGGACATGTGTCCCTGGAAGAGACAACGAATAAGGTTCAATTCAAAGAATACTTGGCCACAGCCTCGAGACTCGAAGGAATTGACCGATGTGCGGTCGCTTTATGGAAAGTAATGCACCGGACACGGCAAAATTGTACCTATACAACGCCTTCAAACCCTTTATTTCATCGAGTACATCAACGTCCAGATTATGGAGAATTCTGTGTCGGCTGGAAATGTGTATCGATGGGGATCGGATCACGAACGACTGGAGTTGTTGAGTCATTCGCCTACTTCATGCTGTGCCTACGTTCATCGTGGTCTTGGAGAACTTGCAACATATGTCTGCCGTACGTCATTTCTATTTATTTTGGCGGGACAGGATTTCGCCTGAGCTCGCAGCGCGCCTCGAGCGCATGGAAGGAGCTCATTTGAGTGGGAACGAGGGCTCTGCCACTCTGGTTTCATTAGAATTAGATACGAAATCTCTACTCTAATATGCAGATAATCAGGTATATAAAGGAAAATAATTTATGACCGCATATTGGGCACTGGACTACGACGACAGGAATGTGTATGATGGTGGCCTGGCGAATTGTGCCGGCTCCATACTGTTGAGTTTATGGAGTGTGCGACAACATAATCGGCACCCTATCGGCATCGCAATATTTGCACCGTAAACCTCCTCATAATCACCAATCAAGATGTGTTCAATTTCTGGCTCACATTCGGGGGTAGAGGAGGGAGTTTACTCGAAGATTGCTCGAACAACGGACTCGGGGACCCTGCGATAAGATAAGATCTATGATTAGTCATCAAGTTTTAAGAAGTTTGAGTGTCGACCCGGCCCGGCCATCTTCTCGAATCGCCACTATGTCGTGTCCACGTCGTTCGCGTTACAGATACTCTCTTCCAGGCTTACCGGCGGCGCCAGATGTCTCAAAATTCGTGTCAGCAACGGCCAACGGAAGCTTGCCGGAATCTTTCGATGAGGCGAAAGCTAGACGCGCTGTTGAAGTATCGGACAGGGTCATCGCCGAACTCGACGAACTCAAGGACGAAGTCCAGGACTTCTTGATTGACATCGAATCTCGCCGAGAGGCGTATGTGAAATGCTCTCAAGCGCACCGGGACACTCTAAGCCTGTTCCTCCGCCTCCGACCCGATCCTGAGTATCAGGGGGGCGATAACTCGAAAGATCAGTCGAAGACAAGGGAAAAGCTCAAAAAGGACAAAAGTATTCTCAGTTGTGAGTTGACGTCGTCAAATCTCTCCTTCTCATGTGCTTTGCTGTGCTGTATTAATCCCCTCGTTGTCGTTTCGTTGATGATACCTGGGTTTCTCAGCAAAACGACCTACCGATCCAGAGTCTGTGAAGGTCCGACAATGGCGATTGGAGCTCCAGAAGGCGTTCCTGTGTCCCAAGTGTCCGCCGAAAGAATATGTAAGACCCTCCATGCACGTCCCCGCATCCGGACTAAATGAAGTCCCATTAGATCATGCAGGAAATAGACGCTTTGTTCACTACGTTAGAAGGGTATCACGGTATGACGCATGAACAATACTCGGTATGTCTTCTTCATCTCTTCGACACGCACTCTCATCAACCGCTACATTCGTCCTAGTGTTCGAAGATGAACAAGGTGTTGAGACATATAGCCGCTTTGCCAGGGGACAAGGTGCCACGCGACGCCGAGTTCAGATTCCGCGCTCGCTCCAGGGCTCTCACCGAGAAGTGGCACGCTCAATTCGCTCAAGTCGGTGCATCTCTGACCTCTCCGCCTGTCGTATCAGAGGGACCTGGGGATGGGATGCCGGAGAAAAACGAAAAGAAGGATGGCAGCGACGAGGATTACGAGATTGTTGATTCAATGGAGAGGGTGGACCTGGAGAATGGAACCATAGGTGCGTTTCCTATCTGTCGCGGACACATTTACCTTTCTAATTTTCGTGGAAATTATTGCATATCGTTAGTCCACATGGATATTTGCTAGGTAGTCCTGGTACGACAATGTTTAGAAATTTGCCTGCCTCCGTGTTACCCAAGCTCCGGCCAGTTCCTTCGTACCCGTCTCATTGGTATTTTGAAGCCGGATTCGCCTCCCATTCTTTCTCGTCCTATTACATTGAAAAGGTGCCTGCCAAAATTGGCTTAGACCTTTACGGTACTTTCCCAACGGTTGGTTTGCTTCGACCTGAGCTAACTTCGACGACGTACGCAAATCCTCCAGTCTCGGGGACTGGCACCACGGCGGCCTACCAGCGCAGGCTCGTCGGATCCAGTACAACCTGCGGGTAAGTCCTCATCGACGCAAAGTTTTATTTTAAACGGCGATCCACTGACCTTCTTACCACATTCAGCCAGTACCACCAATCGTTTAATTCATCCTACGGCGTAACCAGGCACGCTGCGGCAATTGTGTAAATAGTATGGCTGGAGACGAAGAGCTTGGTGTAAGCACGAGACGGCCGGGTCACTAAATGAGAGGCTTACCTTTGCGTCTCAGCTCACCAGAACCCACTCGTGGATGCAATGTATATCGCCAATTCCTCAACCCTGGTTCCCTCTGAGAACGGCCATACATTCTGCCCATTCATCGTCTACGGTGTGTAAATACAGAGTGGAGGTATCTTAGGCTTACTTCTGAATAGAGAATCATGAACAGTACTACTCTGCGCACAGCTCGAAGGTGCAGCGTTATCTTTCAACAACGAAAACATTCACCTTCCACCTTGCTACACAATGACGGCGTATAATGCGAAACGCGACCCATAACACGAACCTTCGGTCTAAACTGAACGAACGCACAAGTCGTACGGCTAGGGCTACGACTCAAGGATGAAGACTGCTGCTGGAGACCAAAACGCGGCGAGTATGCATATCTGTCCATATAACTATGCTTTACTCATGTCCTATCTCTCGGAATTGGGCCGTTACCACCCTTGATCCATGTACACGGGGATACGAGCGTGCCGAATTGAACGACTGTTTGTCGAGCAACCTACACACACCCAGCATGAGCGCTGACGCCCTCCGGACGCTTTGCATCTACGTCTTACCACCGATACAACCGTGGAGCGCATCATGTTAATGGAGCACTTGGTGGATTTCAGTGAGATCCCAGACGAGCGTCTTCGGCCGTTCGCGATGCCAGTAGTAGCCTCTCCGTGTCAATTTTTGAGGTACAGACGACCCACCGTCCGTGTTCGTCGTGAGCGGCATGTACAAATATTGCTCCGACCTCGTATTGACAGCCTGCATTATCACCTACCTGGCTCGACAATCGTCTTACTAGCTCACGACTGAGGTTGTACTGGCATAGCCGTCGTCAATCTGCCCGCTCTGCGTCCTATTTGCATTGATGCCTACGAATTGTGACTTACTCTTCGTATGCACGTTCTTCGTAGTTCGCACAATCGAGTTGTTGAGCGCCCCGCAGCTCATTCTGCTCATGCATTCGTAGATGTAAAAAGATATATAGACACAACCAGCGGAACGCGGCCCAAAGCACGTCTTCAATGCGTCATAGATACTGCCAGTCATTTTAAATTCGCTGCGAAGCTGAAAATTCCCTCATTCTTCCCTTCATGATTTCAAGGCGGGCACAAGTTATTACTGCGTACAGCAGGCAAACTTCGGTCACGATCGCTGCTGGCTGCAGGCGGAGGGATGACGATAAACGAGAGGTGTCAAAATGTATATGTAGAGCTTTTCAGGTCTTAGTCGCGTCGTTGGTGGGATAAATGGTGACCCAAAGATCCTCCATTGGAAGATGTGTCGTTCGCGAGGAAGTTCACGTACAGCCTAGAAATAAGAGAGCTGTTGAGATGGGATCGTGAAATAATAGTAAAATACAACGCACTTGTCGACCCGTTTCGAAATTATTCCACCGCCTTCAAGGGGGAATTTGTGTTATCGTCTCGAACTTGACGTTGCCCTCGGTGTTATTCTTCAAGGACTTTCTCAATCGCGTCGGAGATCTGGATGCCGGTATTCGTTGGCTATAAGAAGAGATCTTCAGTGCGAGCTCGTCAAAGAACGACGAAGATGGAGCAGAAAGGATGAAAATAGGAAATGACTCAGATGACTCAGATGCAGAATGCCGGGGCAGGGAAACGAGACGGAAGCAAGAAAAGAAAGGGAAGGAAAACACAAAGACGAGCACTGACCTCGACCAATCTCATCTGAAGCATCGCACCTGGAAACCATCGAAGACCACGTCGTCGTTGACGTTCTTACTCGATGCGCCCTTGATCTTGCCTTCCAGTCCACCAACACCCGCAGTTGCCGAAACCGTGTTCTCCCCTTTCCAATTCGCGCTCGCGCCGGCCTTCGCACCACTGGAGCTCGAACCCACCCACCACTTCAAACCACCCCCAACTCCCACCCCACTCAAGGCATTCGACTTCTCCCTAGCCACGTCTTCTGGTCCTCGAACCCGATCTACAGCCTCTAACAATTTCGCCGTCACCTCTTCGTCGTGCCTTCGGGTTGAGGCAACAGCCGCGGCTGGTGTTGAAAAACCGTCATAGTTCGTGTTGGATTCGCGGGCGTCAGACGCATCGACCGTGTCGGAAGTCGACGTTGACGAACAGAGCACGTTTCCCCACCAAGACGATGCTTGTCTTCATTGGTGGACTTGGTGTGGGTCTGCCAACGTCGGAGGGTCGTCAAAGTTCGCGTAGAGAGTGTTTGGTGCCAGTCGCAGTTGAACCAACCGAGTCAGTAGCACATGCCGAATTCGCATCTGTCAAGAGAGGGTGAAATTGAGCAACGAATCAGCAAAAGACAAGGGAACGACCCCAGCGAAAAGAGTAGGAAAAAATGAAAGCGTATATCGACAGAAATTCGAAAAGAGGGTGAAGGAGCGAAGGAGGAGACAGACACTGCAAACGCGCGAAAAGAACCCAAAGTACCTGCAAGTTCGACGTGAATCTACGATCGACAACATGTTGAGCGTACGTATAAGGAACAGAAGTCGTGGGATCAAAATATGCGGAGCCGTGATGACGGATGAGGAGAATGAGGCAACTGCAAAGATGGAAATGGAACAGAAGACCACGAAAACGAACGACGAACTCACTTTTTCTCTCCCCTGCGAACGGAACACATCCCCCCCATCTTCCCAGCAACGGTTGCCCAACGAGAGTTTACTACTGATCGGATTCAAAGAAACCGGGTTTGAAAGCGTGGCTGAAGAGGCGACATGAGTGTTGCGAGGAGGTACGCTGGTGGTGGGGCAGGAGGGCTTGTCGTCTACTAAATGGCAAACGCGGTGGATGCACGTGTCTGGGCTGTGTAATGTAAATGGCGGAGTGTCTTGGGCCGGAGGAAAGGCTTGATGATGTTAAGGATGGCGTGGAGAGTTTGGTGTTGAAGTAGAGGGTGTTCATCGACGTCGGTGAAAGGGAGAGGATTTCTAGCGAACACTCGGGCTCGGCGTAGCGGCAAGGATTTCGGGGCGATGAATAAACGGATTTATTCATCGCAGAGCCTGATCAGGCGCGTTTCTTTCGTGCGTAGCAACGTGGCAGGGGGCAAAGACGGAGATTTGAGGAGGGAAGGTTGCGGTGTTGATTTCAGTAGGTACTTTACGTGTGTATGGGCAGAGTTGCAGGTACAACGAGAACTTGACGCCGGTACCCGTTGGCTAGAAGAAGTGAGGGTCAGTGCAAGTTCGCCAAGAAACGGGAGGAAAGGATAAAAAATGGAAACGACTGCGTTGCGGAAAGAAGAAAAAATAACGCACTAAGACGGACACTAACCTCGACCAATCTCCTCCGAATCGTTGCACCTGGAAACCGTCCATGAACGCCAATGGCGACCGTGTCCTTACACCCCTCAACGCCTCCTTGACCTCTCCTTCCAACCCACCAGCACCCGCAGTCTGCAAAAGGGCGCTCTTCCCTTTCGAATTCACGCTTGCGCTGGTCTTTGCGCTGCTCGCTGGATTTCGAAGTTCGAACCCTTTCTACGGCCTTCAACAACCTTGTCTCCACGTTTTCTTGATGTCTTCGGATTCCGAGGCAACGGCCGCAACTGGTGTTGAAAGAACATCTTTGCTCGGGTTGGGTTCGCGGGGGTTAGACGTATCGACCGTGTTGGAAGTCAACGTTGATGTACAGGGAACGTTTCCCTGACAGGATGTCGTCTTCTGTCTTCGTTGCAGGGCTTGGTGTTGTGGATCTCTGGACGTCGGAGGCGGTGCTGGCGGTGCTGATGGATCCGATGTGGTAGCTGGACGTGGACGTGGAAGTGCTACAGTCGAGAATGAAGTCGAACCAAGGATCGTCGGAGTTCTAATAATATAAATGGCCCTAATTTCATCGTTGTCGGACTTTAGATACATAGTGGATGGGCGGTGTGCCACCGACGTTGTTCCGCGTTGTTCCACGTCTTTCCACAACCACGACCGCTCTCCTCACCGAAAGATGGAGCAGCTCGATCTCCTGTGTTTCTATCCAGCTGAAAAGCCTTACATTGTGGATATTACTATCCATAAACAAGCATCCGTCGCAAAGCTGTTGGAGGAAATCCATGGGAAGTTCAAACAGCGGATCCCCGAATTCAAGGTGGCCATGTACGACCTCTCCCTCTACTGCGTATGCCTCCTCGCTCTGTCGCAGCCATCTGGCTAACTCTGAGCAGGCGAATCTCCCATCAAAACCTCTGGAGGGTCGCGCTGAGCGTGCGCGCAAATGGATCCTCGATAATCTAGAGAGCCCGCTTGATCCTGTGGACCCAGTCGATGTCCACTTCCCGGCTCAGCCGCCTCACTTCGCATTTCATATTGTGGTTGCCGATCCCGAGCGTGAGCGTTCTCTCCCTGACGCCCATCCACTCCTTGACCTTTTCGCGTCTTCAGTCCGGCATGAGCTCTCCATGCAACCCCAATCCTCGCCCTTGGGCTCAGGGTACAAACAATTGACCATGACCACGTCTGGTCGAGGCTTTGTTACGCTCCAAGACCTGGCGGACAATGGCATCGTTGAGGAGAGCACCCCGCATTCACGCATTGTGGAGTTCCAGGACATGCTCCAAACCACCCCTCGCTATAAAGGCCTGGACTTGTTCAAATACGGTCTGTTCTTCCTCTCCAAATGCAGCTTCCTTCGTTTCTGAAACGAGTCCGAAGCCGAGGGACATCTTCGAGACCTCCTAAAGACATCCTCCTCAAGCCCTCAGCCTCCGGCAGGCGTCGTCCCAGCCACTGAAGACCTCTGCGCACGTGGTCTGTGCCTCCTCCCCTCACCCAGTTTCCTTTGTTGCTGAGACGAGCTCAAAGGACGCAAGTTTATTTCCGTCCATGCCCTTCCGCACTTCACCCCACTCCCCAACGACAGCGCCAACCCGGACCCCAACAACGGCACCGCCCCTGACGGGAGCTCTAATGCCAGAGAGTGCAGTCCCCAAGAGATCGCTCATGTCAACCAAGTGCTGCTCTGCGATTTTTCCCAAACGCTGGGCGCGGGGGGGAAGGGCCACTATTGCAAACTCCAAGCCTATGCGGCGGTGTTCTCCCCTTTTGGATACAGCTTGGCTGCCTACGAGGGCTTTGGAATTGGGTAGTGCGTCGGTCTTTCGAAATTTCGGGTTCCTTCAGCTGATGTGCGCTGTTTAGCCGCACGACCAACTGGCCGTTCCATATTTACATTGAAACCAACCGCGAACTCTACTCCTACCTGCCAAAGAGCGACTTTCAATTCTCACCTGCTATTTTTCCCGTCTTCCTTGCAGAAATCCAGTCGGAGACGACTATGAAGGACGACAAATGCATGAAACTTCAAGCAGCAGCCCTTGTTAGATTCGCAAACGGGTACTTGAAGAAGCACAAGACGAACAGAAGCTTCTTTCTCGTGACGGCGTACATCAACAGGCAGGGGGTTCTGGAACGAAGGGTTTTCTATCAGGACGAGCAACAGGGCAAGAAGGTGTGTGAGGCCCCTTCGTCGCAATAAGCATACTTTCTAATACGCCCTAGGTCAAATACACCGCAGCTAAAGTCTTCCAACTCACCGAGAAGCGCGATCACCTATCGTTCCTCTGCGAGCTGTACAACCTCGCATCGTGGGCGGCGGAGAATACTTCGGGCAATGATGCCCAAGACGAAGGTGTTCAGAGAGATGCGCTCTACGATGCGCTCCGCGATGAGCCGACCCTCCCGGGGTGGACGAGCGTAACTAAACCTGCCCGAAAGGCGCCGGACGGTGGATTCGAGGGAGAAGGGCGACCCGCCCAGCGAGCGAAAACCGGAGGTGTAGGGGATGAGGGCGAGACTGCTGAGCAGCTGGAGGCTTTAGGATACCAGGTGGAGCCTCTCGCCTTCGAGGACGCCTTTGGAGTGTGGGAGCGGTTGGACCAGGTACGAAGATCCTCCGGTTCGCCCGCATTCTATCTCACAATCTCTTTTTTTGCAGCGACGGTCGTCTACGATCAGGACTGTGTATGAACAGTCGGACGTTGAGTGCACGAACCCCTTGATCGCCAAAAAAGCTCGCAAGTCATCACAGGAGCTTGAGATTCTACAGCACCTCCGAGCCCAGAGCTCACCGCCCCAGTACATCGTCGCCCTCTTCCGTCATGTCGCTATTGGCGATACAACGTACCTTATCTTCCCGAGCCTGGAGCCTATCAGCAAAGAATCTCTGCGCGGCGGCAGGATCCAGCAGCCCTGCCAGAGCCTAGTTGCAGGCGTTGGGTACCTCCACAAGCATGGAGTTGCCCATCTCGATCTGAAACCCGACAACCTCCTCTACGATGCCCGCACTAGGGAGCTGAAGATCATCGACTTCGACATCGCCGTGCTAGTTGAGAACGAGGAGCAGGAGGTCGAAGGGTACCGCGGTACAAAAGGTTGGACAGCGCCCGAGGTGTGCGACGGACGGAGATATAGCGCCATCCGGGCCGATCGGTGGGCCTGCGGTCGCATTCTCAAGGGGTTTCTCGGGTATACACACAGCAGATGTGACCAGGGCCTCTGGAATCTTGCGCGTCGGCTGCTGGCGGAAAGCCCCCGCGATCGACCGTCGCTCATTGGGTGACGTCAGGCTGATTCTGGAGCGTGCGTGCTGGGCAAGACGCCGAGATGCGCTGTCTTAGGCTGTGACAGTGGTCCAATGCCCTAGCCAAAAAAAGTACGCGTCTGAATGACAGGCGCCCAGTGGCGTCTTAATTAGCAGTGTATATCAGTTGTACTTTCATATTTCAGTGCGATTCCCTTCAACATAGGAGCTGTGAGGCAGCCCACAGCCCATGGAGGCCTCCTATCGCCCATCGGGCACAGAACGCAGGCTCCTTCCTTCCTTCTTCTACGCAGGTGGTAATTAAGGCTAATTAATGATTATTGCACGTACATGATATATTCTTACACAGGCCGAGACGAGATAACGCAAAAAGCGACGTGGAGCGTCAATCAATTGTCTCTTTACTATGTAATTGGCTCATTGGTTCCTTAGGCTCGGGAGTGCTTTTCGAGGAACACACCAACTGTGTATGCAACCTCGCACCCATAGCCCCTTCCCACACTTCCCACTCATTGTACTGAGTATTCGCAGCCGAACCCGCCGCGTACACCCAAATCAACCAGAACCCACGAAAGTGTGAGGGGTAGCAACATAGGCTAGCGTTTGCCGTCGTGGAACCCGCCGGCATCAGAGGAGAGGAGAGGAAACCAGTCACAGTAATGTAAGGAGATGACACGAGCGCGCTGAGTGTTCAGCGAACGATCGTGAGTCGAGTGGCAAGTGCGCAGCCGTGGGCATCGTGGGCGTCTCGGAGCGTTCGAAGGAGGCGGGATCCCGAAGGCCTAGACCTGCGTGAAGGGAGTCAAAGTCATTCTAATCAAGCAATGAGAGCTTGCGATACTGGGTTGGCGAGTCGATTGAATTCAATCAACCGTGGAGGATCAAATGAGAGCATCACGAAGCACGGTGCGGGTACCATGCTGCCGTGAGCGCTGACTGAGCCCCGACGCCCAGCAAGGGGGTGGCAAGGGTTAATGTTAACGTTTGGATAATGCGAAGATAACGTTAGGCCGACCTAACGCTCGGTGGGTTGAGCACTTAGTGTGTTCCGAAATTACTCAGGTAGAGTAGATGATTCAATGAAGGAAAGAATTCAGTGAATGGCAGAAGTACCTCAAATCTCGAGACCAGTAAAGGGACGTGCGTACCTTCGTCCTTCATGCTTCTTCATAAGGCAAATCCCGAGTCCGCTTCCAGGGGTGCAGGCATCGGGCATCGTTCAGGTAGCCTTCGAGCGAAGACAAGTGATTGGCGGTTATGAAGCTTCCGAATGACACCGAGACGAAGGAAAGAAGGAACAGGGCAAGGGCGGGAGCGACCGAGAATGGGGTAGGGCGGGGTCTGGGGATCGACATCGCATGAGGTAGTCTATCATATCTCCGGCATTTGAATTAGGAATCGGATTCAGACTCCAGAGGCGCTCGTACGGGTCACTCACCGCCCGATCGAAAAGGCCCGCTGTATTAAGTATCGTCGGAAAGTTGAGCGTCGAGACGGAGGGCGTTTGGGGAAGGGTACGTGACGCACATTTGGGTTGACTTGGTTTGAATAGAGCGAACCTGGAGAGACAAAGATTGGATGCACCAGATAGTCGGAGACTACATACCTTAGCGCCGGCGCTGGTGGCGAATGTTAACCTGACGTTCACATATGCCATGAGTTAGTTGTTTAGGTGGTTCGGCAGTTCCCGTACTGTCGTCTCCTATGCCTAGGGTGGGGAAGGAAGTGTTAGGCCAGGGTACATAAGGCCGAAGACTTACCCAACTGATAGAGAGTACGCGATATGGGCGGTAGGCGCCAAACGCGGAAAGACGTTCTGCCTGACATCGCGTATCGTGTTCGTTACATACAATAATGATTGACGTGGTGTACGCAAATGACGAGAGCGCGTTCGTGTTTCACCTCCCAGCGAGCCCAGGTTCGCGAAGCGTGGGTGGGCGTGGGTGAGCGTCGGCATAATTGTGCCTTGCGCAGACGTTTTCCTCTCAACCTCCCATGGTTGGCGTTAACGTTGAGTTTGGCGTCGGGTCCGAGTGAGTTCCAGACCTCCCCAAATCGAAGATGATCTCCAGCGGGTCGAGCGTCGCGACGATGAGAGGCACGCGCGTACCACCTTCGAAATTCGCAGTGGCGTCGGGGCACCTAGTGGTGACTTCGAGCAACCCTACATAGCAGATTGGAACTTGAACTTGAACTGATGCGGTTGTCGCTACGTAGGTGCAGGGCCGCCTCACCCACCGAAAAGCCTTCGAACGTAGTTGGTCGATTTCCAGAGTAAGTAAGCAGAGTAATCAACAGAAGCAGGCCGTGGTTTCATGATGAGCGATTTAAAGAGAAACGCACCTCGTGGAACCCCGACCGAAGAACCAAGTAAGGATCCTGGATTTAAGACGCGATGGATCACCGATCATGGGTGAGATGAAGTGAGATAAGATACGGACACTGCGTAGGTATGGTCGATGCCAGATGGGCACAGCATGTCGCCAATCGTATGTCGTCGCATCGTGGTGCATGACGCTGACGGGATCCAGAGTTTCATGCGCCGCTGACTGAGGAACGTGCTGGCTGACAGGCGGCCGGAGACCTGCGTGTGCGCGTGAATGTGCGTAGCATGGCGGCGTGAAGGGTGAAAGGACGAAAGAAAGAAAACCTAAGTCTGATAGGGAGTGAACAAGTGTGAACGTGAGTGTATAGGCAGCTGCCAGTAAGACGTCGAACATCGGCGTCAGCGTCATAAAAATATGATGATGGAATGTCCAGGAACATTGGGGGCCGACACGGCCGTCGAGCGCTTGCGCGCGTAAAGATTCGGCATGAAGATACCGGACATACTTAACAGCGTCGCAAAAGATGAGATGGGAGGATGGAGAATTGGCTGGGAAATTAAACGCCGGAGACCGGATGACCAAGTGGGCCTACATAGGCTGCCAATTGTTGCGTAGATGTACGGCTTTGTAAGAGATGAAAGCGGAAGGTTGGAAGAGGTTGGACGGGGGGCGGTGGGCGGTGGGGCGGCGGGTTAGATTGGGACGGCGAATTTCCTCGTCAGAAAAGAGAAAACGTAAAGCAGGAAACGTAAAATGGAAGAAGACAACGGAAAAGAAATATGGATAAAAGCGGATGTATCGCCTACGATAAATGAAAAGAAAGAGGAATAGAAAAGGAAAGGGAGAAGTGAATCAGGTAGGAACGTTGGAACAATGATATCAGGTCAAGAAGGACGATGGTGCTCGAGGAGCACTTTGGAAATCGAGGTAAAGACCCTGAGCACCAGCATGCAGCGAGCACTGACGAGTAGAGAGGAACTATGAGGAAACAGGATAGAATCAGGATAATACAAACACGATCGCGACGCCAGGAATGTCGGAGCTCCTTTACTATCCGGCGTCCGTCCTCGGTAGACTGGTCTGCTGAGCAACGATTGCGATGGAAATAGGCATGATAATGATATTGAATATTTAATTCGCGTCGTGGGTGGGAAGGATAGAGTAATCAGAATATGATTTACTGAGATTGTCGGTGGTGGCGGCAGTGTAGCACAGGCTCCCCGGGGTCGGGGGACGCGGAACATGGTAAGGGAAACGGGAAGGAGAACTTAGGAGGGCTGGGTGTGGGGAATCAGGTGGCTGACGCAATAATCTCGGTGCAAGCAGTGATGGTGATGGTGAGGACGAACTCCCGCCCCGAAGAGCGAAATGCAAGACGCGAGATTCGTTGTCGGCCTACAGAGAAGAGAGTCAGAGAAGGGAAACATCGACCAAGAGATCGGCAGGGAGCATCTGGCCGTTCCTTGAGCTTGAGGCTTTGTCGTTGTCTGAAGGCAGTCGCGTCGTATGATGCTATACGCGGTATCAAAGATTCTGCTCGTCGAACGTGCCGATGAACCAGGGATAAGATGGTGTGCGGTGAAGTTTCAAGCTCAAGAAAGCCTGTGGCTCGCAAATGAAGTGTGCTGTGCAAGTCCACGAAGAGAGGGCGAGGTTTGGGCGTGGGATACGGCAATGCCGAATTTGATCCGTCTCCAGTTACCCATCAGGCCTGGCCCTTGGTCTTAAGCATGTCCCGACCGACGTGCTAAAATTTACAAGGTTTTTGGGCGCTTCGCGCTGTCCGGATGCTGAGCGATAAGACTACGAGGAGTGTCTATATTTCGAAATGGGTAGTGCTGTTCGAGAAGGTCAAGAGTTAATTTTGTGCTCTGGACTATATCAGATGTAATATTGAGAAGACATTTCAAATAATCCTCGCGTTAGACAGCCCACCGGAGCCATGCGGTAGGCAATGAAAAGCCCCAAACGGCCCAGCTCTAGTCCCAGGGTAGGCTCAACCTCAGACCACGTAAACGGCTTTGATCTTTATGTCACCTCAAAAGCAGCGTCACTGCCTCTCGCCGGTCGTAATGCTCTGATCGCCGCTAATGCCTATATTTTGTCCTATCCTGGTAGGTCCTGACGACGCCCCTTGTGTAGGATCGCTGATTTCAATTTTGCAAAATTAGTCTCATATCTGCCCCATGAATTCCAAAGCATTTAAGCCATATCCTATCCTCGTTTACCGAAAGAACTCGGATGCAACGGTAGGTCAATCAAGCTCGACCGCGCAGAGAAATTTATGTTCAGGCCGGTTCGTCGTTATGTGACGCGCTCTATGAGGTGGTCGATAAACTCGAGGAGAAGCAGGTTGAGTTCATTTTGAGTGAAGTCTGGAACGAAGAAGCTGTCCAGTGCGATTAATTACGAATATGGCATTTTAATAATTTACTGCAATCACCGTGGGCCCCTGACAGTCGAGGGTGGAAAGCTGCTCCAACGGCGAATATACACAAGCAGATCGACCAGCACTCATTCTGTCCGAATCAACTTCGCGGCAATAGTATCTTATCCTATAATGAAAGCTCAAAGAAAAACCTGACTGAATCTTCTTGGAATTGAAGTAAACTTACTGCATGTCTCGATCTCCGACCTACACGACATGAATCATTATTTAATGCTCTCATTTTATTGCTTCGGGAGATGAATTTGACATAGGCCTCGTTCCTACAACATGCATCACATTTCTACTTAACGACTACGAAGCTTCCGACTTTAGATTCTCAAAATAGCCCATTTGACAAGTCTTATCAGAGTTCTGCACTACAAGACCCGGCCGAGCGCGTCGTATGCCCTAGGAGGATGCTGTGGGCGCTCCGAATGCTTCGGCCAATCCGTTCGAGGAGGTTGTCTTTTAATACAGGTGGACGATCCAATTCACTATGAAATGAAAGGTATCCTATGGCGCTCTGCACTCTAAAGTTAAAGCTGACCGTCTACCGTACTATGCCAATCTGTTCCCCGAGACTAAGTCAAGAGACTCAGGGGCCTGAGAAATTTGATGAGATCCTCCCACAAGCGCCCACGTATGACGTTAACGTTAATTTAAACCCCCACAACCCGCAAACCGCCATTTAGTATATCAGGCCTGGAGGTTGGGGAAGGCCCCGCTCTATCACCCTCTTACACTGCCCTACCTGCTGGCACCTGCTGGACTACCGGTATGCCTATTCCAAGCCCATTCATGCACCAGGGCATCTTCTGACGACGATTTTTCGGAATCTCGGAAGCTGGAATCTTTTGCATTTCCTGTGATCTCTTAGCCTCCGTATTTGCGCTCAAATGAAAGAAGACAAGTCCAGCCAAAATCCTGCATTTAAAGACCAGAAGGAACCAGCAGCGTCTGGGCAACTACACCCGACTTCTTCCAGCACGTCGCGGTCAGGCAGTCTCAAGATCCTATTGGCCGCTGTCCTTCTCTCTTTTGTCGCTTTCTACGTCAACATGTCGCCGAAAACTCTACCGGAAACCTACGCGCTGTGCTCCAAGGAGGGAAAGCAGATTTACACGGTGGACGACAACGACACGTCGGTGGAGTGTGTTCTCGTAAAGGGGTCGTATGTCGTGGATTCTGGGGATTTAGGTGAGTTATCCACACATCAGAGGGGTCAACACGCGATGACGTTGCCCTGTAGCGAAGGTTCAGAAGAGATCGGACGACACCATTGGTCAGGCCTCGTTCCCAGTTTACTATGTCCCCAGCGGTTCCATCGTTCTTCCTGGCTTAAGCGGTTGGTTGAGCGAGTTCTGTACAACCAAAATATCACTGATCGAACAACCGAAGACTCACATTGCCATATCCTCGAGCACGGAGCCAGCCTCCAAATCCCCCTCTCTGAGGGTAAGACAGTCGAAGGTGCGTGAAGCTGCTTCCGGGCCACTGACCAGGACGATCGACTGATCCACCCATCGTAGAAACCGTATCACTCGTGAGAGCGTACGTCCTCGCCAACCCAGATCTCGAGAAGAACACATCCAGCGTGATTGAGGGCTGGGGGTGGGACCACGCCTCGTGGGACGTCGAGAAGCTTCCATCGTGGGTGCGTTCGGGAACGTGTGCCTCCTGCGCGCTTGCTGGCACTTCTCTGTACCTGCGGAACGCTGACCATCGTTCCGGTGTATATTTAGCGAGACCTCGAGGCGAACAGTGTTGTCGCAGGCCGGCCTGTGATTTTGCAGAGTAGGGATGGGCATGCCGTGTGGGTGTCGAAGCGCGCTCTAGATGCCAACGCACCGTACCCTGAGACCGTAGAAGGTGGTATCATCGTGCGAGACGAGGATGGCGAGCCAACGGGTGTGTGGATCTTATCTTATCTTGAGTTAAGGTTTTTGACGGGCCCAACAATCTCGTGCCTGTAGGCGTATTCATAGACAGTGCTCAAGATCTGATATATCGGCCTCCACCCACAGACGAGGTGTTGTCTCGCCGCTTCGAAATCACGGTCAGAAACGCGCTAGCCGTCGGCCTAACCTCGCTGCACGACGCGGGCTTCAAGCCAGACTCGCTCGCCTTCTTCCGCCGGTACGACGTCCCATTATCTCGCACTGTTCCGAGCACGGCTAACTTATCTCCAACACGTCTAGTCAAGTGGAGAAAGGGACTCTCCCGGTACGTCTTTTTTCTCAATTCACATGCCCAACGCGGGATAACCACCCGGAATCTTACCGTTGGACGGACAGATTCGGATATATGGAATGACCTTCTTCGACGAGTACGGCTCGTACTGGGGCGATCAAGTATCTCCGCTCGTGGGTGCTGGAGACGATCGTTTGAGCTCTCGGAGCGTCAAGGTTTTTGCAGATGGTGCGTACCCTCATTTTTTCTCATTCGCTACGCAGTCATCTCATCGATTATCTATTCCCATACCGCTTGCATATTGGAATTCTCGCTGCTGCAGGCGCTTTGCGGACAGGTGGCGCCGCGGTGGGTACCTATCTGTCGGCCGTAAACGCTGAGCCGCTGACATTCCTTTTTGCTCTCTTTTTTTTCGTCAACCTACCCGTTGATTTACCCTTTTGTTCCCTCTATTCCCTTGTTCGTGGCAGCTCTACGAGCCCTACGCAGATAACCCGTCTACAAATGGGGTAATGCGCATCTCGCCGGAGGTCTTGAAGAAGGTCATTCCCCGATTTTTGAAAGACGGCTGGCAGGTCGTACGTCTCTTCCTATTTTCTTTTTGTTTTTCTACGGCTATTCCCGTGCAATTTCCGTGTTCTGCGCCTCCGTATCCGCATTGCGGTGAACCTTGCCCTGGTTGGTCCTCCGGAGCGTGATTGTGTCACGGAATCGCCGAAATCCAGGAATCAGCGATTCAAATCTTCTTTCTCTCCTCCTGGTCCCCCAATTCCCGAGTGGTACCCATCTCATCATCTCACCTTCCTTTGTGCTCATATATTCTATCACCGTGTGGTGTCGCCTAAATCCGCAACATAAATGCGTACACACAGAACGTGCACGCCATCGGCGATCGGGCGAATGGCATCGTCCTGGACGCGTTCGCGGAGGCCCTCAAGGGGGTCAACGTCAGTGCGCTCCGACCTCGCCTTGAACACGCCCAGATCATGACCAAAGCAGATATGGCGAGGCTCGGCGATCTTGGAGGTGCGTCTCTCGCTCCTGCTCATTTTGTGTGCTCTTGATCGCTTACGAAATTGCAACTCAACGTTCACTGTTCCATGTCAAACTTGTTCCAACTTTGAATTTCTTGATCGTATCGTTCTTCTCCCGCTGCTGTTGGGTCCTTGATGTTGGCACCTCTATTTGACTTTGGGGTGGGAGTGCGGCGGTCTATAGTCATCGCGAGCATCCAGCCGACACACGCGTACGTGCCCCTTCCTCCGTTTGACCCGAGGTCTTCATGGCTGAGGTCGTGACGCTCATGTTTCTTCGTTATCAGCATAAGCGACATGTGGTACGCCCAAGACCGACTCGTGAGTCCTTCTCTTCTCTCAGATTTTTTTCTCTGCATTCTCTCCACTATCTTCCTTCCCAGTCTCTTTCTTCCCACATTCGCTCTCTTCGACCAACCCTTCTCTCTTTCTCAATTACAAACCTCTCCATCATCACATCACGCTGATCCGTCCTCGCTCGACGCGTCGTGACACTGATAGGGCCCAGAACGCGTCAAGGGTCTGTACGCGTTCCGTACACTGATCGAAAGCGGCGCGCGCATCACGCTGGGGTCCGACTTCCCCGTCGAGGTGATCAACCCGCTCAAGGGGTTCTACGCTGCCATTACGCGCCTCGCGACGGATGGGACGTCGCCCCACGGGCCAGGGGGTTGGTATGTGCTCTCTCCTTTCCACTTCCAGCGCTCGCATGAACTAAATTCCTTGAAAATGCCACTTTGGGGTACAGGTTCCCAGACCAGCGCCTGACCCGCCTCGAGGCACTTCGCGGTATGACAATCGACCCCGCGTACGCGTCTTTCACGGAGGGTATCCTAGGAAGCCTGGAACCAGGGAAACGAGCGGATTATGTTGTTCTCTCGCAGGACATCATGTCAGTTCCTCCGGAGAGGATCATGGAGACCAAGGTTCTTGCTACTGCTATAGATGGGCGTATTGTTTTTGGTGGGCTTTGATTGCGTCACGTAGGCTGATTAGATTATGGATAGGCGGAATCATTTCTGGCTTAATGCAACGGAAAGACAGGATTGTGAGCCGAGCTCCCCGGCGAATCGAGTCGTTGGAATTGGGATTTTATTCCATTCGTATAAATGGGCAACACGGCCACTGCGAAAGTCTACTAGATAACCGGCGACGTCGAGTCGCTGTCAATATTTTTGGGTCTTTGATCTTCGCTAGGTCATCTGAGCGCCGTCGACTTATTAGGCATTTGCCAGCGTAGCGCCCGGAAAGAAGGTTGCTACCTCCTTTGAACGCCGGCTACGCTGGGGCGGAAATACATAATTACAACCATAGCCGAAGTCTCCGAGCGCCACCTTCTGCTTCTTGGACTCCTCTCGTTCCATCCAATAGGCAACGCAGTTTCTTGTTTTTCTTTCAGGGTCCCCTTCCAGGCGAGTACGACAAAATCTAATTTTCTTTCATGGGGATAAAGATGTGGTCGATAAGAGGGTGAACAACACCTGCATTCGGGTCACCTCTGGGCAACAGCAGCATGAAAATCAGGTAGAGACATTCCCAAGCTCTTCTTCCGCTTCTTAGACAAAGACCTTTACAACACGAGAACAACGACGGCGAAGTACAATAGCGACCTCGACCGAGCGCACCGTGCTTGACAAGAACAAAGGGACTTGAATGCCACTCACCCAAAAATCGATACTTTGGCACACGGTGTAGGAGACGATCCCCTTCTCTCCCTCTTTCTCGTTGGGAAATCCCTCGTCTAATATTATAAGCATAGCGACGAACAAGAGACGACGAACGGAGTGTCAAAGTCACGCCACGACTCGCTTTCTTCTTTCTTTTCCCCATCTCTCTCGGTCTGCAGTTCCGCCGGCGTTTAACTTCTCATGAACTGCACGTTTTGACAGCACTTGACAGCGTATTCGTGAAGCGGTGAAGTTCGCCACACGATTCCAAATGAAACTTACCAAACTCTTTCCTTTCTTGTTATCCTGTTGACCTTCTGTCCTGAAAGAAGGCATATTTTTCTACTTCTATCCTGCCTCGAGGACCTTCGGAAGCCCTGCTTTGATCGACCAATTGTCCGAAGATGTACGTAAGCTCACGGAATTTAAGTCGCAACGGACAGGTCTCGCTGGCAGAATGTCGAAAGTGGACGAAACGATAGGATCCTGCAGAGTAAATTTGGAGTAAGTGAGGTCCTCTTGAAACTTTTGCCGTGCTCGTGTATGGCTATTACTTGCATGAACGAATACGATGACTCCAAGGCACCACCTTATTCTTGTAAGAGTATCCAGTATCCAGATCTCATAGAACGCGTGTCCTCTACGGCGGCCGTCTAGACTGGGGGTGGGTCGCCCGTGTACGTTACCTCATTCACGACTTTCCTTCCATCAATGGTCTATTCATGTGGGCACCGATATTATTCCATTCGCGAGATGAAAACCTCAAGGCCTCGACTTTCATGTGCGCTGAAGTCGAATGAATTACTGAATCACTACTCCACCCTACACTCCGGCGTGCGCCCCTTAATGTAACTCTACGACATATGGTCCTTCCATTGTTCTTCCCCTCATGTCGGAAGACATCCAGTTATTTAGTCAGAAGAATGACAAGGGTACTTCCAGCCTGTCGGCGTGCGCAACGTGCGTGTCGATGCCACGCACCCTTCCCTACCCCGCCATGTCAGCAAAGCGGGTCTAACCAAGTTCGGTGTATTCCCAAATATAGACAAAAGCCGCCATCACCCCGCCACCGCGCCACACATTCCAATAGCCCCACGCGCGACGCACGCGACATATGCCGTAGAGCGACATCTGGTGACAGATCGAAGTGCGCCACGCCACTTTTATAGACACAAATTACGCTATGGGCGCTGCGAGTGTACGGACGGATGCAGATGACGCCTGCGGGGTTTAGAGACGAACTTGAACAAGTCGACACTTGTGCATGTGCAGTACTCCTCCGTAAGTCCGTCAGACTCAGTGCATCAGTGAATCGTTCCTTGACTAACTATAGTGCTGTGGAATATTATACGGACCAGTGCTCGCTCGTTCTATGGATACACCGGCGCGCTGCTGGAGTCTAGGGACCCCTTGTCCTTGTGCAGCTGCTGTGTCAATCCCACAAAACGTCTGATAAACGTACGCCGGCAGCAATCTATTTATAGCAACGCCTCCCTTCCCCCCGCCTTCACCCTTGGCCGTCTTCGTCTTCCCTCTTCCTCATCAGGGGCTGCCGTCGGCAGCGCACGGACCCTTCCAGTTATCCTTACATCTACCCTTTCTTCTGTCCTTCTACATCTTCGTATTTTGATCATTGCCCCCGCCCTTGTTCCTTTATTCTTTCCAAAGATCAAGTCCCAATGTAATCCATGCCGCCGAAGCCGCCATCAAACCCTCATCTCTGCCCGTCGAAGCCTAATTCCTATTCCAACAACCCCCGACCGAGTCCGAGTCGGGGCTCGGGGCCGCTGAGTTGAATAATCATCATCGACGACGTCAACTCCCCCCGAGTCCCCGCCTCGAGGGCACCTCCGAGAGAGGGTCCGCTCCGTTGATGATATCTTGAAGCTCGATCGCGATGAAGGGCTGTCAGCGGGCTCAGAGTGTACTGCGTCCGCTGCTGTGTACGGACATAAGACATAGGCGCTAGCCGCATTTATGCTGCAGGGCTTATTGTCTACGAAGACCCTTACTTTCAGAGGCCTTACTTCGTACCCCCAGGGAGAAAGAAAATGACAAGAAATAAATACAAATTTTCATTATTTAACACTTTTACTAACGGGCGAAACGAACTATGAAGGACAGGGTGGGGTAGTAGGCGATGTCAAGAAAATCAGGCAGAAACGACAGACAGACACAGCACACACGTTGGTATTCGACGATGGTATGTAGGCATGCATGTTTCGGAACGGGGGGGGACCAAGAAACGGTATCGGTTGTACGAGGAAGGGGATATAGAGACGTGAATCGGGAATAGGAACACAGGAAGAGGAGATAGGAGAACGGAAATAGAGGAGAGGGGAATCGCATAGGTGTAAAAGATCATCGATCAAGAGAGAGGAGAGAGATAGGAATGTACGACAAGACTGTAGTGGGTAGTAGGTGATAGTCGTGAACATCGAGGGTCGAGATATACGAAATATAACAGTGGAATGGGTACAAGTGTGTTTCGAAGTTGTACAAGAGATCAAGAAGTTGGGTAGTAGTCTTATGAAAACAGCGGGGGTTGGCAATCACAATCGGAATCGGGTACGCTGCAGTGGATGGAGACAATCGAAAGGAAAATGGGACCGGGATATGAAGACACAAGAGGTATTCGAACACGGTGGAAAATAATAACACAATAGATAGACTGGACGGTCGAAGGTCGAAGGGATTTGCTTAAAGCATGGGTAACAGAATAAAAGGTAAAATCTCGTGCGGCGGGTGGTCGAAGAGAGGGGTAGTGATGACGGCCGGATAAGTGAAGATAGTAGTAAGGGGTAACGACGGCGGATAGCGATGGCAGCGGTATGTGGAGGAGGGGCTCGACAGGGGCAAAGAGTGGATGGATGACGGAGCGGAGCAAGGACAAGGAGAGGACGAAGGGTGACAAGAGAGAACGAACGACTCAACAACTACCAACACCACTCGCTCACCGTGGTCCCCTCAAGATCGGCGGGATCGTAAAATGGGGCGCCAGCGGACCCTCCATACCGACCGCATGGCACGCCTCAACCAGCTGCTGCCTCAACGACTCGCACCGATGTCTGATCACCGCACACGGCCAGAGCTCGTTCAGCACATCGATGGGGTTGAGGATGAGCTTGCCGAGCTTGAGCGCGTCCTCGAGCGTGCGGTCGTGGTTCCAGAGCACGATGCAGATCGCGAGCTGGTTGATGAACCAGGTGATGCGGAAGGGCCGCCGGGTGAGCTGCTGCCCTGCGGGCCCGGCGAGGTGGTGGATGAGCGTGTTGACGCGCGAGATGACTTGGTCTTCGTAGAATACTGGAGGTACGGGTGAGTATATGCGCCTTAATAAGACAAGAAAAAAGACGTACACCAATCCTCGGCCTGCTTCCGCTTGAATATCGGCCCAGGCGTCGTCTTCCCATTATTCAGCCCATGAAAACTGCTTATACGCAGCATCAGCCCTATCGTCCTTTCCCCACCGCCAAAAACCAGGAAAGACACAACACTCACCCCCTAAACGCCTGCGCGACCAGCATGCGCGTATTATGCAGGTACTCGCGGCACGTATACATGATCGTCGTGTCCAAATTACACCTATGGGCATTCAGCGCGTCCTCGATCGCCTGCGCCTCGAGGAACGCCTCCTGCGCCTGCTCCGCCCTCTCCTCGTCCCTGCTCGGCTCGCGGAACCGGTTGCAGAAGTTCCACAGGAGCATCGCCCGGCAGAACAAGGCGTAGACGGACTCTTTTGCACAGAGGCCGTCGCGCACTTGGTAGGCGGGGGCGTACCGGTCGAGGATCTCCCCAGGGAAGAACAGGGCGTACTAAGCGCATACATCGACCGTCAACGAGAGAATCAACGACAATAAGAGGAGAAGGAACGCACGTTAGCCGCTTCTGTGATCCAAAACCTCCCCGGCGCCTCGTTGAACGTCTCGCACTGCGCGACATACTCCGAGACGAGGCTCAACGCGCTCCATACCACCCTTCTCCTCTCCTCCTCTCTCACCTCCTGCTCCGTCCACGCAGCGCTCCACGGCAGCTGGTGCGGGCGGTTGATGAACGGGTCTGCGTCCGGGCTGAGGGCGCTCGGGTTGAGCGTGTCTGGGTCGAGGCTACCCGAGTTGAGCGCCCCAGAGGTGAGGGTACCAGGAGAGAGGGTACCGGGCGGGCTGAGCGCACCGAGGGAGAGACACGCACAGCGCACCTCCATCTCGTCGAACGGTGCATCGGTGATGATAATCGGGACAGTGTCCGCGTGGAAGCGCGTCGCGTCGGGGAAGTGCAGGTCGGACGTCGTCAGGTTCAAGTCTTTGATAACGCTGTCGAGGGCGAGCAAGGCGGAGGCGGCGCGTGTGGCGGAGTATTGCGGGTGGGCGGAGGACTCGAAGAGGGCGAGGATCTATGAGTCGGTAAATAAACAGGCAATCAGTCAGACAATCGGCCAATCGGTTAGCCCCTCCCAAAAGCAACGAAGCTCGCAACTCACCAACGCCGCCTCCGCCAAACTCACATCCCTCCACCCACCCACCAAGGCGTCCTCATACGCCTGGTGCGCACACCCCGCGAGCTCCGTCGCCTGCGCGAGCCCCGCCGCGCCGCCCTCGAGCTTGCTGCTCTTCATCAGCTTCGCCATCGCTAGCACGGCGTATACGAACGCGGGCTGGATGCGCTGTTGGTGCTGGTTATGTTGGTTATGGTTATGTTGGTGTTGGTTGTTGGTGTGGTTGTTGTGGTGGGATTGGGTGTTGTGGGAATGGGAGTGAGAGTGAGAGTGTTCGCCAAACTCGTATTGGAGCCGCCGCACGAGATAGTCGACGTTGATGAATGAAAGAAGGTGTCCAGTGTTATTAACGCTATCCGTCGTAAGTCATGTAGTTAGGTAGGGCAATTAGTGGATGAAATTGAGAAGAAAAAAATACTGACAGGAAATTAACTTCAGCCGCGATATCATGAGTACTAACGAACCACCAAACACCAGACAGGAGCGTCGCAAAAAAATCAGCGATCCGCATTATTGAACCCCAATTAAATCATCACTCACCTATAACTCCTCAAAATCCTCTCCCACCACCTCCTCATCTCCATCTCCATCTCCAGCTCTCGCTCAGTCGAAGAAGTCGTTATTCCGCCCGTGCCCATGCTGGTGCTGCTGCTGGTGCCCATGCCGGTGCTGGTGGGCCGTCCTCTCATTGCCGTCCCTGCTGACCCCAGGTGACTGATGTGAGAGGGAGAGTGATGCGTGTCTGGAAATGCGAAAGTATTTACGTCGAGTTGGCGCGGATAGGACGGTTTGGTATAGGAACCTTGATCGTACTGCATATACGAGGATGTTCGACGGTACGGGGCCGACAACTCGTGCTGTTGGTCGTTTGGTTTGGTGGTTGGCGGAGGACGGAGGGTGGAGGCAGGAGGAGGAGATAAGATAAATTGAATGAGGGCAAGATGAGCGAAGAGCTAAAAAAGACAAAGACACGAAAACGCAAACGCACCTTGTAATGATGTGAAACCTCCGACCCCGACGCTGACGACGGTGGTGGGATCCGTAAATCGGTGGGCGAGGGCGGTGGCCCTTGTCCTTGATGATAAGGCGACGGGTAGTGCAAGTCCTGGTAGCGATGGTCGAGCTGCTGTCTTGATCCGGGCGAGGACCGCTTCAAGCCGAGGTCGTTCTCTTTCGCTCTTGACGCCGACGCCGACGCTGACGCCGAAATCGAGGTGGAGGATTGTTGGTGTAGAGACGGGGGTGGGAGGTGCGCGTAGTAGTCTCTCTGTTGTTGGATCTGCTGCTGCTGAAGGTGCTGTGGCGAAAGGTCCTCTTGCTGCTGCTGTTGCTGAAGCTGATGTGGCGAAAGGCCCTCTTGTTCAGCCCTATCCCCCGTAGCAGGCCCACTCGTTCGTTTACGTTTCGGGGGCGGGGGAGCACTCCCGTCCGCAGGTCTCTTTTTACAGGAGCGCTGGCGCGTGCCGGGACGCTTATCGGGGCCCCTCCGCTTGGGCACCAAATCGTACTCGCACTCGTTCGATCGCCGGACGCAGTTGTTGCATACGGGCCTTGTTGAGTCGCAGCGGATTTTGCGGGAACGGCTGGTCGGGGCAATGAATATGGGTAGATAGGCGTGTAGGAGACGTCAAATGTCGCGTGGCGTTGTCGTTGAAAGTTGGAAGAGAATAGGGAGATGGGATGAGAATGACATGTTCGCGAAGGAGGTCAGTAAATTATGGCTTAATGAAAAAAAGAAAAGCGCTTAATGAAACGGACCATTGGCGACAGGCTATGACAACGGGGGCGGTAGTCTCCTTCCGCGCGGTAGAGGAGGATGACGCGGTGGGATTACTGGTGCCCGAGCCTGACTGGGCGGTGGTGTTGGCGGCGTTGGAGGGCGAGGGGCCCGAGCGTGTCGTGGGCGTGTTGTTCACGAGCGCGTTCCTGTGATCAGCCTCCAGCGAGGGCATTCCGCCGCCGCTAGACGAGGAGGACCCGGGCTGGCGGGCGTAGGAGTGGTCATGGGACGGTCCACCAGGCAACCGTCGCTCGGTGGGGGGACTATAGCGAAAGTCGATGCCAGTCGAGGAGGAGGAGGAGGATAGAGGAGGCGGGCCCCGGAAGTCGATCCCGAGCTGGTTGTGGTTGTTACGCGGGCCGATGGGGAACTGCTGCGACGCGAACGTGACCTGCCGGGCGCTTGAGGAGTTGGAGTTCGGGAGCTCTAGCGCGGAGTCAAGCATCGGAGGCTGTTGGGCCGCGTTCAGTGAATGGTGGTGGTGGGGGTGCGCGTAGCCATCGTATCCCGGCGCGATCATGGCAGGAGCCGGTGCGGCGGGGTGGTGCACGTCCAGCTGGTCATGTTGATACCGGACTTTGTAGACGAGATGAGAACGGAAAACGGAAAACGTGCTAGCAACAAAGTGGGACGTACAACTGTCGCCGTGGGCGGAATACTGGGCACCAAAGACAGGCGAATGCAGACCTGAGCCCTCCTCACTGGATTGCGGACCTTCTTCTGAGAGCAGGGGCGGCTGGAAGGGGGAGTATATGTCGGCATTGGCACTGGCAACCATGGGTGGCGGGAGAGAGTGGAAGGGAGGATGGAAGGGAGGAGGATGAGAAAAGAGAGCTGTTGAAGAGCCACGCGAGATGAGGGAAACCAGAGCCCAGTCCCCACGGTAAATCGCGACAAGTTATCAAACTCAGCCAGATCAGAAGATCCCCTTTTTCCGCTCAGATCTCCCAGATCTCTCCCTCCCCCGGATATTTCTCGCGTGCTCCCCGATAAGGATGTCACGCGTCACACACCGAACCGGGCCCGTGGTCGGTGCCTGGTCGCCGCCCACGTGAGCTCCTCCACCGAATTCGCCGGATGCCTGTACGCTGGAAAATCCGTTCTCCCTCGACGCTCTCAATCTCCTACTGTATTCCTACTATCCCTCTCCTCCGTTTTGCCTTGATAGATCATCAGATGCGCCTCACTCTTTCTTTCTTTCTTTCGTTCGATCAACACAGAGGCTATCATCCACTCGCCATCATCAGATCGCTACCCCTCGTCTAGCTCAGCCCACGACTATCGCGCTTGCGTTCTTCGGCGCCGGCGTTCATCCTCACCATCACTGCTCGCACCGAAGTTATTGCGTCAGCCAGCCGATTCCCCACATCCGTCCCAACCTCCTTCTCCTTTCCCTCCGTTTCCCTTCTTACCCCGACCCCGACGACTCCACCTATACGACTGTCGCCTGCGCTACGCCCCCGCCACCGCCGACCACCTCAGTAATTCATGTTCTGATTACTTTATGCTTCCCACCCACGACAACATTCAATATCATTATCGTGCCTATTTTCCGTAGCAATTGTTGCTCAGCAGACCAACCGCACTAGTCTACCGAGCACGGACGCCGGAAAGGAGCTCCTTCCTTCTAGGTTGAGGCTTCGCGATCGCGTTTGTCTTATCCTATCCTGATCCTGTCCTGATTCCTCATGGTTCCTCTCTGCTCGTCAGTGCTCGCCGCATGCTAGTGCTCAGGGTCCCACCTCAATTTCCCAGTGCTCCTCGAGCAGCATCGTCCTTCGAACTGATATCATCGTTCCCACCTGATTCGTTTCCCCCTTTCCTTTTCAATTCCTTTTTCTTTCCTTTATCGCTTGCGATAAACCCATTTTCGTCTTTATTTATTTCCTTGTTTTTTTTTTCCTTTTTCATCTACATTTTTCCGTCTTTCTGACGAGGAAATCCGAATCCCAGTATTAATCTGACCCACCGCCCCACCGCCACCCGTCCAATCTCTCCCAACCTTCCACTACTCTCTTTTCAATTCCGACAAAGCCGTACATCGTCCTCAAATCTACGCAACGATCTTGTACCCTCATTTCTCATTTCGTCTCCGCCTTCTATCTCGTTTCGCCTTCTTCCCTCCCGCCCTCCTATTTATATTCCGCCCTCTTTCCTTTTCCTTCGTCTCCTCAAAGTTCGCAGTTCGAACGCGCACTCGGTCATCCGGCCTCCGGCGTTTAATTTCCCAAGCAACCCGCCATCCTCCCATCTCATCTTTTGCACCGCTGTTATGTCCGGGGTATCTTCACGCCGAATTCCTTTTGCGAACGAACGCTCGAAGCGAGCGCTCAGCTGCCTCAGCGCGTCTGCCTCGCATATATTACTCTAGATCCACGCTGTGGCGCAACGTCCTGTCTGTCTCTCTGCAGCGTATCGCATCTGTCTTTCCATGTTTTATCTTTCTATCGTATCGTTCGATATTCCATCACGACTTGACATATCAGCCTATGACGCTGACGCTGACGTTCGACATGGTATTGGCAGCTGCCTACGCCTACGCGCGTACTTACTCACGTTCCACACCTGTTCACACCCTATCAGACTCCCAATCAGAGTTGACGTTGCTTACAGTACAGTGGCACCACATCCTTTCACCCTTTCACTTTCCCACTTTCACCTTGTCGTCAGCGTTTTCACGCGCAGGTTTCCAGCTGCTAGTCAAGAGCACGTTCCTCAGTCAGCGGCGCATGGCTTTGGGAAGTTGGAACGTTGAAGCTTGCTTGCTCAGGTATCGTGTCATGCAACCCACGCGCGGCATGCCGCATGCTGTGCCCATACGCAGTACCCGTATCTTATCTCACCTCATCTCACCCATCGCCCAATCGCCCATCGCGTCTCGAACACTCGAACATATTAAATCTCTACCTAAGCCCTTACTTGGCTCTAACTTCTCAGGTCGGGGGTGCCACGAGGTGCGTTTCTCTTTTAATCCTCCATCGAGAAACGCGTATGATTTATGTGTCAAGTGCTTACTCTGGAAACTGACCAGCCGCGTTCGAACTTTGCAGCTTTTTTTTCGGTGGGCGGGGCGGCCCTGCACCTACCTAGCGACGACCGCACCAGTGCAAGTTCAACTTCCAATCGCTACGCTTAGCAGTTCCTGCTCGATGTCGGGTTGCTCCAAGTCGTCACTCGGTGCCCCGACGCCACTGCGAATTTCGAAAGGGGTGCGCGCGTGCGTGCGTCTCTTCGTCGCGACGCTCGACCCGCTGGAGGATCATCTTCGATTTGGGGAGGTCTAGAACTCACTCGGAGCCGACGCCAAACTCGACGTTAACGCCTACCATGGGAAGTTGAAAGGATACACAACCTCTGCGCAAGACACAGTTATGCCCACGCCCACCCACGCCTCGCGAACCTGGGCGCGCTGGGAGGTGAAACACGAACGCGCTCTCGTCATTTGCGTACACCATGTCAATGTATGTAACGAACACGATACGCGATGTCGAGAAGGACAAGCCTTCGCGTTCAGCGCCTACCGCCCATATCGCGTATTCGCGTATTGGCGTACTCTCTAGGCTCCCTCTAACTGTTGGCTCGTTGGCTCACTGGCCTAAGGTACGGTGTCTTGGGGTACGTGTACGCGAACTGCCGAGCCACCTAAATATCTCTAAATATCTAACTAATAGTGGACGTAAGGAATGTGTCACGGAGGACGGGGAACTTCAACTTACGCAGAGTTAACGTCAGGTTAACGTTCAACGTTCAACGTTCGCCACGCGCTAACGGTATGTACTCTCCGATTATCTGGTGCACTTACTTTCGGTTCGGCCCATTCAAACGTGCGTCACCGACCCCTCACCAAGCGCCTCGACGCCGACTATACTCAATAGGTCGCTTGATCGGGCGGTGTGTATGCGTCATTTCGTACGAGCGTCTTTGAATCCTGATCGATTCAAATGCCATGATAGGCTACCCGAGGCGGTGTCGATCCCCAGACCCCGCCCTACCCCATTCTCGGTCGCTCCCGCCCTTGCTTCTCCTAGGGCGCGCCATATACTCGTTCGGAAGCTTCGTAGCCGCCATTTATTCCCTGAGCTCTTCGCCCAAGGCTACCTGAACGAAGCCTGAGAGGTCGGCGCGTTCCGAGCGACTCAAGTACTCCGTAAATTCCAGTTGGCAGTCAGGTAGGGTGCCCAATTCAATAAATGGACGCCCTGACCGTGAGCGACGGGAACGTCGATGCCAGTGCGAGATGACGCGGACGAAGTGCAGAAGTACTGACCTCAAATCTCGAAGTCAGCAAGGGGTACCTTTGTGCTTCTTCGTATAAGGCAAATCCCGCATCCGCTTCCCCGGGCGGAGGCTTCAGGACAGCGAACGCCGGGCCTAACGCGCTAAGTAACGTTAGACTCGCATCACTCGAACGTTGAGTTTAACCCTGACGAGGCGGGGTGCTAGTCAGCGCTTCGCGATGGGTCTCTTCCTCACTCACAGTCAAAGTGTCGCATTCATAATTAATTGTCTCGCAAGCATCACAAGTTCCCATGCCACTATGAAGTTCAACGTAGGTCAAGTCTCTCGGGAGACACGCAGCACGCTAGAGCACGCTCGTATAATCGTGATTTGCCCAAGTTCCACGCCGGCAAATGCTGGCCTTGGTCGCTATCTTGGTGGATTCTAGCTGATTTGGAGGTACATTGCGGGTTTGGCGGCGAGTAATCCTGTCGAGAGCAGGAAGAACGAGAGTCCACGATGATCGGATGGGTGGGAGGTTGCAATCAAGGTTGGTACGTTCCTCGAGAAGCATTTCCGAACTCAAGGAACCAATGAACCAATTAGTAAGTGAGTGAAGAGGCAATTGATTGACGCTCCGCGTCGCTTTTTGCGTTATCTCGCCTCGGCCTGTGTATGTAGGTATTGCGTCCGTCCAATAATCATTAATTAGCGTTAATTACCACCTGCGTAGAAGAATGAAGGAAGAAGCCTGTACAGTTCTGCCCCCGAGGGACGACGGACGACGTCCGTCGCCATGATCCGTCGCTGGAGACGTCATCGTTAGGCGCCAACAGATTGCGACGCCTTCCGTCCCCACGTTCTTCTTTCTGCGTAATTAGGCATCGTGGATGCCCGCCGATTCCCACCCGAAATGATGGCCTGTCGTTGTATTCGAACCTTCGCGAAACTGGGAATTCCTATTCTTGTTCTCATGTTCTTAAGCAACGTTAGGCGTTATAAAAGCACCTTGATAAAATTTAAAGCGCCCGTGTGGCGATAAATGCTTGGGGCCATGACGTCGTCGTTTAATTTATTAATTAAGCGACGGGTCTGAGATGCTGGGCGTTCTTTTTCGATTCCGTCTTGCCTCCTGGATGAGCGGGATACCTTCCAGTCGAACCGTAGCAGGACAGTAGCAACCTCGCCGCCCATTGTCAGCTCGTTCTAGAATCTATACTCTCGTTTTCCATTGAAATTTCGGCCATTAAACTAGTCGTAGCAGATTAAACCTTGTTCCCTGCTCTCGTCCAGAAATGAACTGAACAACTGGGTTGAGTTCAATTGACCTTCGAAGGCTATTTAATCGAAGTGTATATGAAGTACTAGAGCCTACACTTCGGAGACTAGAATGCAATAGGTAGTTACAATAAGCCGGAGAGGTCCAGGGTCTGATCAGAAGCTCCAGGCGAGACTTCATATTCGCTGAGTTTGTTCTTATCCCACCAGCGGCTCGGAATACGCCCAGAGTGCAGGCACGCTCAACCAATCTGGTCGATCTATCCGCATAGTGTTTTCCTTGGTGTCTTAATAATTTCCGTCTATCATCTTTGGGGAAAGAGACATGACTATCAAGCAAATAATTTCCCACCCTTTCAGCAAGTGAAACTTGATTTCCTCAGAGAGCACCGTCGGCGGAGATCATACTGATACCTACACGTCTGCCTTTCTCCCTCAGTCGCACCAGTCTCCCTCCGTGTAGTTGAAAAATCAGCCGCAAAATGGAACGATAATTTCTCGAACGTAAGTGGTGGGCAGACTTGTCCCTTCCTAATTCGTTGATCCTCTCTAAATCCATATAGGTCCTCCAATCGAAGACACAGCCCGCTACCCCGCGTACTTACCCTATGATGAACGGAAAAAACGAGCTATTCATAGTGGGCCTATTGTCCAAAGTATCGCCCAATCCCGAAGGGCCTACCATGGCCTGCTAATCACCAGATTTTATACTGATAGTGATATGGCTTCTTGAACTCTAAAGCGTACCCTAGTCTCCGAATAGCTGCAGGACTTAGGTCACTGATATCATATCAAGGTCCGTATGATCGCGGTCCTGGTGGACCCATATGTAGTATACGTTCATCTCACTGCGAACGCGGCGTGTTTATTGCACGCTCCGTGCGATGTATTCGGTTTCGTTTAATAGAAAGTAGCACCCATCTAGCGCGTGCGTCAAGATATGAATAACGTTCACGTTTGTACCCCCTCTGGTCTGAGCAAAGATGTAAATACGCCTCGATGAGATCGAAGCGGATTTATAATGGGTTTGAATCAATCTTAATTATCTCCCTGCAAGGGAGTGCATGTACGATGAGATTAGTACGTACTCTAAGTAAAAGTAG